ATATATTGATACAAATATCGAACAGACAGAAAGAAAAATTCCTTCGATCCAGATGAATTCGAACCAGCGCTTATGGCACGGTACAGCAAAAAAACCGTTTAATTCCAAAAAAAATATCGGCAACAATCACATAGAGAAATTCGTAGAGTCTAAAATAAATTTCCGATTATATGTCTTTTTATTGTTATATTGACCGATATAAGAAACCATTTCCTACGTGGGTTTGTAATGATGATTTTTCTTATCTGAGTACAAAGATTTTTATAAGAAACATCTCGTCTGTGTTGTCAAAGTAGCGTAGTGTCCGAGTAAAATCATGTCGATGTAACATATTGCCGGAGTAGCGTAGTGTCTGACTAAAGTAATATCGAAGTAACATATTGTCGGAGTAGTGTAATGTCTGAATAAAATCATGTCGATGTAACATGTTGTCGGAGTAGCGTGTGTCCAAGTTCAATTTTAGAGTCCGCGTTGACATTTACACATCAAATAGAAATTGTAGCAAAAGCTAAGTGTATCGTTAGTTCAACTGTTTTACATATTTTAGTGAACCGACAGAAACAATATTAAAAATCATAAAGTAAGCGACCCACCCACTTGTATAGCAACCGACATAGTCATAGTACATCACTATTTTGTCGTTTACCTACTATAAAGAAAGTGGCAAAAAGCGTGTTGTACCTTTTTGCATATTTTTAATCGCCAGTGTTACCTTAAACGCCTGTAAGCCTCAAAAATCATTAGATAGATATAGCAAAATTATTGTAAGCGCCAAAAAAGGCTTAAGATCCGTTGTTTTAAAAAATTTTAGCTATTACACAATGGGTCCCGAAATTCATTTTTATATATTAAAATTCCATTTATTTTCACATTTATATCGAAAAATATTTTTTAAAAACCTGTAAAATGTGTTTCTTATCGCTTACACTTAAGTCGGCGGTATGGGTCTACATGCCACAGAGATTAAAACTTTTCAACTGGGCTCTCAATAATAAAAAAAAACTGATCCACGTGAATGTCTTTAATTGACTTAGACATGAGAACAATACCTTACAAATGTCGTTTTCATTTATAAACTCATTTATGTGTAATCTGTTACGTAACCATACAAAAAATCTTGATTTAATTAAAAATCTAGAACATTTAGCGTCATATTCACTCGTAGCAAATATAATTAACTGATTCCAAAAATCCGGTTTTCAATACCAGCAAGTGCAATTCGCTATATAACCAGTTTATCTACTATACTGTGTTATAGTGACTGCAGACGCACTATTCAATGTCGCATGGAACTTCTTGCATGTCGTTAAAGTTCAAATTCATTGTGCTATAAAGAAGAAATGTCCGTAGGTCATTGTGAAGCACGTTTTCTTTTGATCAACACGTTCTAAATTTATACACAATTATGTATTGTCTCGTTAAGTGAAAGTGAAACTTGAATACACTTAATAAAAATCTTACGTTGATATTGATAAAACGTCATAGGATGGAATTTAAATAACATAAAGTGTGTTTTACGACAAAAGATATATTTGCAACATAGTTTTCTAAAGGTAGTTGTTCGATTTACCAGACAGATACAAACTACCGTAGTAGAGCATTCAAAAGCCCTGATAGCTGCCTACAGTGCCAAACACTGTACAGATGCTCTATCATTGGACAGGAATGGCATCAGAATGTTCACTAGAGTTTAACAGGACATTGTGGCTTGAACAAGCACATTTCAAATTATTAATGTAGATTCTGCCACGAGGCGGATGAAACTTCTGCGCATCGTCGCACCCGATGCTGCCCCCTGATGGAAGGCACAGGCCACAACCAGAGCACATAAAAACTGTCGCAGCCAGGAAAGTCCTTCAGTTCTTAAACGCCGTCGGCCTTGGCTCTGAACTGTAATTAGTGGTGATCACAATAGATCTGTTGATGGTCGCAGTGATGAGGGGCTGCATAGACCCCGAATGAACCACCCTAATGTTTTTATGGACACTTATAGCCCCGCTCTACGGAAACCCTGTATAGCGGGTGACGTGAACACACACATAGATAACCACAAATTACATCCAAACTCACGAGAGAAATAAATGCAAGCGATACAAATATTTCTCCTGGCCCGGGAACCCGAGACCTTTGCGTGGCAGTCTGGCATGGTATCCGTTCGGCCACAGAGGCAGTTAGTAGTAATAGTACCGGTAGTAGTTACAAATTTCTAGAATATGTGCTTGGCAAAGAATTTTCTGACATTGTACACACTCTATACCAGCAAAAATATACCGTTTCGTTATTTGTACAATTCTTCAATAGGTACCTTATTTCTAGTTTTAGAAAGTGACAAAAAAGTTTTACAATCCACTTTGTGCCCAATTTTGTTTGCGAGTCTCTTTCATTCTTGTTTTTTTTATTTGTCATAAGTACGAAAATAACAGCGTCTTTTCTCAAGTTTATGATAACATTTCCTGCAGTAAGGTATATTTAAAACACGGTCTTAAAAAACTTGATGAAAGTATATGCGGAACGCAAACGTGTGCGTTTCGTCCTTTTGTGATACTGACTTGATAAGTAAGCACGAGAAACTTAAACCTACCTACCTAAGGGTTCTACGCTTCAACTTATTCTTCTATACATATAATCGCATATACACGTTGATTATAATTTAAGATAATTTAAACTTACCAAGAAACACGAGAACAGAATTGCAGCTACAGTTTTGTCGATGACAGTGGCGTGAATGTTAATGATGGCCAGGTCGTTGATGGTGAGGCAGAACAGCAGGAAAAAGCCGAAGATGTGCGTCCAGATGTTCATAGTTTCATTCGTCCACCAGAATATGCTGGAGGAGAAACTAAGTTTGAATACCTTGGTAAAATTTGTTATCTAGTCTGTTTTGGCTTATTTGACACTACACGGCTACAAGGTGCAATTCTTTGCTGGAAATTTCCAGTATATAAATACTACATTATGTACTACTAAAACTTTTTTCATATATAATACATAAGCAGCTGATCTAAGCCAAGTTCGCATCTATTTTATATACAATTTCGTGTAATTAAGTAGTTTCTCTATTGATGACAGTGACTAACATAAATGATTATGTAGCTTGGTAAAATAGCATTTTTGTACTCGTTACCACTAGTTAATGTTACGTAAAAACTGTCACATTACGCAGTAAAGTTGTCTACTTACTATGTTACACTCTGGTTTTCATCACCATATGAAATAATAACTAGGAAACCAAATACAAAAGAAGTACGAACCTACATAATAAAGAGAAAAATACTATTGTCTATGTGCATATTTGTTTAATAAATTTGTCATCAAAGTACATCTATAATAAACCATTAGGTACTTAAAACAGTCATGACATACAGACGAATACCGAAGTCTCAATTTAAGATTGTAGGTATGGAACCCTAAAAAGATAATAGGGTTGGCGATTGTAATGAATCTGCGGCATTTTCGACAAATAACAAATCTAAAAACAAAATCTATCAAGGACCTTGTTACATGTATCACAACAACGAACTAAAACACTTATGTAATTGATTCATGTATTCATGCAATCATAATCAAATTAGTACTTCTAAGCAGAATCTATTGTATCTATTAAGACAATGATAATGGAATTATTTCAACTCTTCCTTTGTGTAAATTGTGTAAATCGTATCTAGTCAATGCCATCTTCGTTCACGTCTATAGCTAAGGGTACTTCTACGGGTTATTCGATATATAGGTTATAAACCATCAAACAACATAATTCCATTAAAATTCGTCTAAATGACAATAATTCAATCCAAACAGTCTCACTTATGACCTTTTTACTTATAAATGCTCCATACAATTACACTGGACGTAAAAATAACAGAAACGTGCGGTATCTCCCGTATCTCCCAAAGTTGAAGAGATAAATTGTTATAAGTAAAACACCAAAACGTATTAAAAACCTCAAAAGAAGTTTAATTTTAAAAAGTATTACAATTTTTTTTAAATAACGTAATAAGTAGAAACTTAGAACTACCTAATTTATTTTACGCTTTTGTTTTGCTATGTCAAATCGAGATACCATTATAAACAATTTCTTGGCTAAATCACACTTCTCGTGTACAATCACGTTAAGAATGTACACAGATCATAATTATGGTACAAAAACGACAAAGTCAGCGTAGTTCTTCTAGAACAGTGGACGTGTAGTTTTCTACGGCACAAAGAAAGCCAGCATGAACATCGGAAGACCAGGAAAAGGCAGGCCAAGGTGCACAACTAATCGAGATGACCGATTCATCATGAGCACTATGTTCACGGCTTTTCAGATCCGAAACTGGGTGTCTATTTTACTTCTACGTCTGACATCAGTCCAAAACAATTACTGTCAAATAAATAATACTCGACGAAATCAAAACACAATGTCAAGTGTGAAGCTTCATTCGTATCATGCGCGTTTTAATTTGGTCGAGTGTTACTTTTTTTTTCTTTCTTTCACTTATTTTCCAACACAAAATTTGACAGTAATTGTTTCGGACGGAGAACGGGAGCAGAGCTCCTGAGCTCAACAAAGTCGAGACAATAATGATGTGAATGTAGAAGCTAAGATGAAGCCTTATAAGGTAGGAGAAATGATCCCAATCCTCTAAAGGAACATCGAATGCAAGATTACGGTATGCTAGATAGCACATCTGACGGGCGGAAGAAGATTGGTAATGTTTCTAGGCTCAGATTTTGTTTATTTACACTCGAAGGAAGGCAAAGAATATATAAGAACGGTATTAACAGACGTGTTTAAAAAAAATTGACCAAATTCGTTTTAGAATTTTGGTTACCAGTCAGTTTTCAACACATCTATCTCAATGAAGTTATACGAGCTTGTGGTGAAAATAACAAGTGTTAAAACAAAAAAGAGACACTTTTATGGGGAAAACTGCCATACGTCATTTTGTTTCCATAACCGATTTTTCATTGACACTTTTTATTTTTTTGATACTAATATGAAGTAATCTATAAAAGATATAATGAAATCCATTTAATATATTATTACGTCACCTACAACATACTACAATTTCAAAAATCCAACGCGCATACTCAAGGAATATGTTTTATTTTACATTATCGATTATTTTCGCTTCTCAGTGTATAAGCCGGATTCTACCATGATACCTTCTCGCACTCTAGAACAATTAAATAGAAGTTCAAATTGTGACAATTTATAATGCAATATCTTTGAAATAATCACTTCTTTCAATTTGTAATGAAAAAAGTTATAGTAAACAAATATAAAAATATAAAAGCTTTGCAACAAGATTATCTTACAGATGTCGAACATCTAACCTTAACCCCATACTTACATTGGCAGCACTACAGTGTTTCAAATAGGTTTATTTGTCGTATTGTTGTTATGCATGATTTCGACTGAAAGACTCTGTATTCAGGTCACACAACAAATTTTTTTAAATGAAATAAATTTAAAACTGCAAAGTTTACACACAACTTTGTACATGTCGAAATATACCATCACAAAGAAAATGTTATTTATTCCTGGTCCTCTTGTTTTTACAACTATGTCAATCATGTATTAAAAAAAAGTTACACTTTAACTAATAATATTAATAATAACGTGCACACTCAACACTGCCCCGCACTAGGGAAACCCTGTGTGCGGGTGGCATGGACACACACATAGACACCACAAATTACACCCAAACTCACGAGACAAATAAATGTAGGCCATACAAATATTTCTCCCGACCCGGAAATCGAACCCGGGACCCCTGTGTGGCAGTCTGGTATGGTTACCGTTTGACCACAGAGGTGAGGATGCAGTAAAATTGCTGATGGTCTCTTCTTTTCATATGAAAGGAATATTTGCTAATGAAGAGTTTTTTTTTATTATTATTATTATGGTGGCTTCATTTGGGGCCTATGAGGTCCCTCATCACTGCAACCATTAAGCGATCTATTGTGACCACCACTAATTACAGTTCAGAGCCAAGACCAACAGCATTAAGGAACTGAAGGACGAGGAGTTGGCAATTTTTTAAATACACCCTTTAGTCTTTAAAGTATAACTGTTTGAAATCTCTTACCTTTCCCAACATAATTTAGTAGGCAACATTTTTCTATATCCATCTCTAATGAAGGGATTGTGCTGTAAGTAAGCTGGAGCCTGTTCATACTTGAGCAGTTGTCTATAGTTGATATATTCAAGATCTTCTTTTGTCAAGTTGTTGTTGTCTTCCAATTTCTTCCCTCGTCGGAGAAGGGTACTGCCAGCACTGTATTCTTTTTCTGGATGCTCTTCCTGAACCTGTAAAATTTCAATTGAAGTATTATTGAAATATTTTTTGTAAAACGATTTTGAAAAACCTTTATAATTATAAACCTTAAGCTTAAAACAAAACTTTCAATAAAAATAATGTTAATAATAAATAGGGAATTAAATGGATTTTTTTTTGAACTTCACCAGGATCTTTTGCAGAAAATTTGAATATAATCCCTATAATACCTAATAGTTACACTAACCTAGCCAAAACTATTTTCAAATATTTGCATAAATTTAATTTTTTAATTTTCTGAGAGGGTACAATATTTTGCAGCTAGTCTACTACATACAGACATACATTAGTGTCTTTTTCCAAAGTTTGCCTGCCTCTGCACAACAGTTTCCTTACTTTTGAATTAAAGAATTATATCCAGCAGAAGGTAAAGTCAAGCATATATTACAACAATGTAAAACAATTTCATTGATTATTTTTGGACTCAAACTTATAAAAATCTTAATGTTAGTAGAGAAATATAACGTAAAATTCGTGGAGGCCAAAAGTTCCTGTACAATATGTGACGAACGAAGGCAAATTACGTAAATAACGACGAACACATCACGAAAACCTGTTTGCGAGTCAAAGATGTTAAACAATATGTACACGAGGATTTTATACTTACTTTCTCTATTGCCATGAACTGTAAAGTTTCTGCATGACACTCACTCACTTTACTGGTCATTGTCAAAGACATATTTGTTTCTATAAATAAGACTACACTCAAAAAACTTTAATAAACACTCCGATGTTATATTATAAGCGGAAACCACAGCATCAATCACCCATACTTCAGCCTTTTCCAAAACTCTATTATGCAATTTTATATTTAATTAATTAAAAACCATGTCGAGTTCACTTAAAATTTTAAATAAATAATAACGTGTGGTAAATAAAAAAAAACGAAAACACAACCACCTCACACAAGGCACACTTTGCAACTGTCAGACTTAGGGACACGATAAGTATCGATACTTTTTGGTATCGAGTAGGTAATTTTCCTTCAGATACCGATACGTTTGTATTCCAAACTTTTCAGGTAATATAGTCATCCAAATAAGTGGCCACATTTGACAGCTAAAGAAGGCGATAGTATGTAACTTTGAATGCGATCAATGAAACAATAAACAAACTAAATTTTAATGCAACATTATATAATATGATGACAAAACATATTTGAAGTACTGTTTTCGCAAGAATTACAATATAAAATGCCATTTAGAGTTACTCTGAGGGTCATATTCCAGAACTCTACTCAATGCTCAAGCCAGGACTTGATTATGATTTCTAGTGCTTTAAATCATACTCAAGTCCTGACTTGAGCATTGAGTAGAGTACTGGAATACGACCCTGAAACGTTTTATGAAAACAGTTACGTCATCAAGCTATTTTTTTTAAATGATAGTGTTGTAAGCAATCAATCATCAAATTTCACCGAGTCACCTCGATTTCTCGAATAAAATATTGCTTATTAAATATTAAAACAAAAATATATAAAAATAGGTGTATTTTAAATAATTATCTATATAACATTTCTCTGACCACACCTATTGGAAATTTATTTAAAATTTATCAAATTTATAAGAGCCCCGCACCAGAGCCAGATTTGAATTTCCTTTTCTTTTTTGAAAATTTTAAATTGTCAACACTGATACCAATCCAGCGGCACTCGAAGTCCGCGCCCGCGCACCGCGCAGTCTTTCGCCATCTTCGAGGTTGCATTTCGCTTGGTTATTTTTGGTTAGCTTTACTTTTGGACTGTTCCTGTTTTCTAAATTATGAACATTATTTGAGATTGTCTGTAGTTGACATCGACAACTTTTAACTAATTGTCAGCCGAATAATTGAAAATTCATGAAATCCTTGGTTTCTTGGTAATTTAATCTTTTATGTAGTTGTTTAATCGATGTACATACTTATTTACACTAAATTCTCGTAATAAACCATTTATGAATATTATAAAATCAAAATTAAAAGAATTGGATGTGGAACAATTTTACGAAAGTAATAAAGTTTTCTGTAAATGAATTGCTTTTACAGAATTGCTCGATTTGGTCTCCGGAACAATAATGAACCGGGAATTGCTACAGTATTGCAAGGAATTCTGTAAATGAGTTGCTTTTAACAGAATTGCACGATTTGGTCTTTTAGGCCTCCTGAACAACATTGAACCCAAAAATAATCTAAACAATTACAAACTCTTAAAATTTTTAATCGATTTCTCGTGAAAATCGTATAAGGTGATTACCGATATGATTAGTCTACATCGCTATTCGCGTCACGATGATAAATGTCAAATATGGCCTCTTATTTGGTGACGACTTATAGTACTTTTTGGCAAGTATCAAGGACTATATATAACTAGAATAAAGGACTATCTACACACATCAGGGCCGTGCCCGGGACGTGGACGGGGCGTGCTAGTTTGTATGAACTGCGGGCCCGTCCCGGCGCGGCGCCGGCCTGGATACGAACATGTGTGAACGAGTTCATACAATATATACACAACGATATTTTTTTTTTCGGCGTGCTAGTTTGTATGAACTGCGGGTCCGTCCCGGCGACCCCCCGGACACGGACATGTGTGAACGAGTTCATACAAAATATACGCAACGATATTTTTTTAGCCCCTGACGGAGCACGGCCCGTCCACGTCCCGGACTCGGCCCATCCACGGCTCGAATATGTGTGGATAGACCTGAATTCCTAGGACACCTCATATCGTAACGCAAGCCACCTTGCATTTTTTTTAATGGCAACCTTCATCACAAATAACTTGGCTGTATAATGTATGCCACCATTTGGTGGTTATCTCATTCTCAAATGGGAATGAAGAAAAATAATTAGAAATATTTGAATTAGGTACTAGCTGACAAACACTAAATTTGAGCACCTCGCAATTCCGGCGAAGTTTGTTCCTTCTTCAGAACGTTTGTTCTTAAAAGCAGGCAATACAATATCAAAAACGAAAAACAGACTGTTACCAAATAGAATTTTGTTTTTAAGTGATTATACAGAAAAGGACTGGGAAATTTAAGTAACACAAATAATGTGAAATGACGATTGATTGAATTGATCAATTTTATCAAAGTCTTTATTTATATTCATGTGTTTTATTCTGTCTATAAGTAGGGAAAATTTGCAGGACAAAAGTATCGATACCTCAAAGTATACGAGTATATATACTTTTGTTTCGATACTTTTATGAGTACGATTCTTTTTATGCGATGCTACTCATGAGTACAGTATCGATACTTTTGATTTGATACCGTGTCCCTAGTCAGACTGTCAGATTCCTATTTTTTTATTCACGTTGTGGTAGTGCACATTATGTTGTGATGGTGGCAATCAAATAGTGTGAATGAAATAGCACGATTCCGCAGCTCATGTCATCTTCCATTTCACGTTTACCATTATTGTCAGCACCGTAGAGCACACCAAAAGTCAGGACAGAACATTATAACAGCTTTTTTTTTTGTTTTTGTGGTCACTTTTTAGTTTAAGTATTATTACGTATTGCATTTCAATTAAGATGGCTCTATATAGCCAATGCTCAACAAATAAATAATATAGTAACATTATAACAAGGGTTTGTTATTGCGTTTGAAAAAGAATGGCGGGTTTTTGTAATTACAGTTTTTTCACAAATTAATTTTTAGTTTAAGTAATAATTTTTAGTTTTTAGTTTATTACGTTTTGAGTTTCTTGATTGTTTGTTGCTTGTTTAAGGTGATGGTTCTATAGCCAATGCTTTGTTTTAAGAAACCAGTACAAGTTTTGCATTTTTAACCGCCTTTAAAAAAAGGAGGAGGTTCTCATTTCGACTGTCGTTTTTATGTACACGCGGTACTGTTGGGTAATTAGAAAAATTGGAAAATATAGAACTTTATGAAAACGCTATATAAAATGATTTTACAACTGCGAAAAAACCTCCAAAACAACCACACCACCATCACTAGTTGTTGGCTCCATCATTTTCGTTCAGTAACTTCAACTATTGACAGTTGTCAACGTCAAATGTGGAAAAATATCCGGAAAAATCTTGGAAAAATACATATTTTTTTAATATTATTATTTTTTTAAATATTATTTTTCAAAATGGAAATTTTTCCATGACCTGGATACTTGTTACGCGATAGCTCCGGCATTTGTGAACTGATTTTAATGTTTCTTTTTTTGTTGGAAAAAGGTACCTCAGTGTACCTCATTGGTCCCAATTAAAGAAGGAAATATTCCACCTCTAAAGGTGGCAAAGTAGGGGACATATCCGGTTTCGCGCTCTTTCCGGTAACTGATTTCAATAAAACTTGGCAAATAGATGTAATTCCACGAACTTATGAGGTCAGTTTTTTTATATAAAAAGATTAAATAAATCCTCCCGTGATTGTCAGAGCTAATATCACACCTTACGGTTCTCAACTGCTCACAAATTTCTTAATTTATTTAAATTTCTGTGCTCTTGACTTCTCTGATCTTTAAGGATGGACAACCACTTTCACTTGTGCCGCCCCTAGTTTATCGTCTACATCAGTTTTAAGTGAATACCCGTTCGTTCCTAAAATTTGGTTACGCATGTTTTATTTAATAAAGTGTACAATGTCGAATGTCTTATGAATTTAACGAACTGCTTGCTCACTTACATTTGCGCACTTGGTTTGAATTAGAAACTGGATTGTAGTCCTTTACATGTAGAGTTTGGTGACTTGATCAGCATAAATAGCATCATCATCGCACACTTGCTGTGACCATAATATTATGTGTGCGAAATGCTGATTAAAGATGTAGGTTAGGTTAGGCAAGCCTGTAGTCTCTCCGGAATACCCTATCTCGCGAGTCGGTAGATAGCGACAATATTTTTAGTAGCACACCCCTTATCTTTCTAAATTAGTTCTTATTATATATTTTTAGTAGCAATAGAGGGAGCTCCTTGAAACATCCTTTTGATTGCTCATTCGTGAAAGAGTTCGTCCAGGGAAGTACTGTCACTTAACCTACTATTTGTGCCGCCAAGCAGTAATGTGGGTAATACTGCATTCCGGCGTGCTGGTGAAATTACAGACACATGGGACTTGTCGACTTATGTCTCAGGGTTACAGGCGCCGTGGAAGTGCCTTTTAGATCTTTGCGATTTAAAACTCTGAGTGGCACTGCAACTGTTATAGACAGGCGTGTCGTTTACCACCAGGTGCACGACTAGTTCGTCCCGTTACTTGGCATCATAAAAAAATATTCCTTTATTAAGTATTTTCTTGTAAGTACGGCGTGACCTAGACGGGTCCTTATAGACCTATCAGCTGCACATACCAGCGCCAACCACGTGACGATCAGTGCCGTACCGTTCAGGAACGTGACGTTTTATTCGCAGTCCTGAGTGCTGATGCCGATGTGTGCCGTGATTGCTAGTTAGTTTAGACACAAGTAGTACCTACCTATCGCAGAAACATATGTTGGAATGCTTCGATATTCAGGAGCATAGTTAAAGTGATTGCTTTGATGATAGTCGAAGACGAGGACACGACACATGTCGTGTGATGCAAAACGCAATGGGTCCATAACATATAGAGAAAAAGAGATGAGGAAGGAAAATTTTCCACTCTATTTGGTGGACGATACCGAGAAATTGATAGAATATGTTGTGAACGAACCGATTCTGTTAATTTCGCATCATTAATTTTGAAATCGTCTAGTCCTTACTTCCTTATAAGGAGGTCTCAATGACTGACCGGTGATTATTGCGTACAGACAGAGTGGGAAATCCGAGGGAGACGCCATTGCCCAGCAGTGGAACACTATTGCACGCTGTCTTTGCTATTGCAAGCTAAACAAAGAAAATAATTTTAGTGCTGATTAACGCACTTGCGTACTGTAAAACGGCGCAAGCACTGAGCATGTGTGTGGTTGAATAAGTCTAGGGCGGATTTTTGCAGTCTTTGTACTTAGATTTAAATATATAGTACCTAATTTATATGACAGAATTGTAATTTGAAAAAATTTTGTTTTTACGAACATAATAGTAATATTGTAAAATTGTGTTAACCTCTAGACGTAAACTAAAGTTATTAGAATAGAAATGTTGACCACCTATAAGAGACAAAGAATTGTCATAATACGTAGAAACGTAGAAAGTACAAGAAATGTGTGAAATTTTCTCCATCGAAAGAGTTACGGTATTTAACACCTGGGAAAGTTTCAAATTGCAAAAAATGTGCTTGAAAATAGATACTTTATTCCAAAAATAGCGCCGTGGATATTCATAAGGCTATGACGTCATGTCCGAAAAGTATTTAGGGTGACCATATCAAAACCGGAATAAGCAACGGTTACTTGCACTATTTTCTATGAAAGTATTTATTACTTTAATATTTTGCAGTAAATGTAAAGTTTTTCGATTAAAATAGCGCTAACAATAATTTTCTTTGTGAAATATCCACAAAAATTAAAATTTCTTAGCGTTTCCTTTGAATTATTTACGGTACTCTTGTGAACGGATGTTAATATAAAATGGTACATCTGTATACGCTGTCAATAAATGGTCGATTTTCCTGTTTGCCGTTGTCTGCTCCCTGCGAGTGCGATAATTTAGTTAAAACTAGCCGTCTGTTTAAAATCGTATAATTTCTTTATATTAGTTAATATTATTTTACTTTTTAAGTCGGTGAAGATTTATCTTAACTATAAAAAATCAATTATTACTGCATAAAACGACTAATGTGGTACTTTTGCGTTTAGACGGGAGCCATCTTGCAATCTCTAATCAAAGGTCCTTGGCTCACAGTTTCGTTGTCTAGTTGAAAGTCAGTTTATTCCATCATAAAATAATCAAATGGCGTTAAAACGAATTAATAGGGTACGTATTCGTAATTAAATTATATATTTTAACGAATATTTGGTTGTTACATGGAAGTGTTGTAAAATATGTATCAAGACTTCGTAGTGAATGTTTCGTCATTGTGAATACCTATTATCGAAAATTCTCGATTAATCCGTGTACGTGATTGTTTTTGCGTTAAAAAATACGAAACGGGACATATTATTCACGTTATAGTGTTCTTTATTTAACATAACGGTGTATTACTGGTTCTAGTAGGTGACAATTTTGTGCACACGGCGTACATAAAATGTCGGAATTATGTGCCAATTTTGAGGTTTTCTCGCCCAGCAAGAAGTGCGTGACATTAAAATATTGTGGCTGATGGTTTTTAGAGGAAGCTATGTGATGGAGAAAGAAGCTAGGACACAGATTGCGATGTGTTTACTGACGATCAGTTGAACGCCCGTTTATTTTGCGAGTGATGATGTGACACTGGTGCATAGGTATAGTATTTCCTGTTATTCAAGTATAATCTTTTTGTTGTTTAGGAATTACAAGATCTGGGCAGAGATCCACCAGCACAATGTTCTGCAGGTCCACATGGAGAAGATCGTGAGTACCTATTGATCTTCTACCTACTTATTTTTTGTGAGTCATTGTCTGCCATGAGAAACATTGTCGTATTAGAAAGAGTTCAGTAAATGTTGCTATTGTGGTTGTCTGCCATTTGTGGATATGGACAATCCCTTATTATTTTGCAATACATTTGCTATTTTTAGTTTGTTTTACCTCGTAGGGCCATGTAGGCAAAAATCTGATGATTTGTTTTCATTTGTCATCACAATGTGTAATGATTTTTTTCATGCCTGGTGTTGCAATTTTAAAATATTGTGAGTGATTTTTCATAAGTAACAAGTGCATTTCTGTTGCTTAGTTCCTATTAGATAAAAGATAAACAGTGACATAATAATAATAAAAGCATTTGCTTAAAGTGAAACAATCAAGTGCAGAACATGTGGATATTTATCTATAACACTCATATGATGTGTTTTTCTATCACTAGACAAACTTTTCAAGCAGAAGTCGGTGACCTGGTTACATACTGTAACATGTCAATGTTTTAACAGATCAGTGACCTATATATGTGTAAGTCTTATTTGATTTGAGGTTCTACAATGTTTGTTTTTCTTTTTTCAGTCTTCCACTGGCAAGCCACAATCATGGGTCCAGTAAGTATTTCTGATTAATTAATCATTTTTAGTTTAAAAACACTTGCTTTTTGTGACTGTAAAATCAAATTATTATCTAAATGAGTTTCTGTTCTAGTTGTACAGTCACCAAGTTATTCTTTTGTGAATTGTATAGACAACACCCATCTAGAAAGATAACCTAAAGAAATGTGATTATTTGTATGTAAATGATAAGAGTTTTATGTATTATATTATTGTTTGCAGGTCGACAGTCCCTACCAAGGAGGCGTATTTTTCCTGACCATACATTTCCCTACAGACTACCCTTTCAAACCACCAAAAGTTGCATTCACAACACGTATTTACCATCCCAACATAAACAGTAATGGTTCCATTTGCCTTGACATTCTGCGCGCACAGTGGTCTCCAGCACTTACCATATCCAAAGGTGATTTCCATTGTATAGTTATTATTTATATACCTATATGTTTCTTAATGCATTGTTATCTTAATCCAATAAGGAGGAAGCAAAAAAGTGTTTGCTAACGATTGTGTAATATTGTTGTGCAAGTGTGCTCTTAATAATGAATGTTGTTTTTTATTTTCCAGTGTTGCTCTCAATCTGCTCACTGCTATGTGATCCAAACCCAGACGATCCGTTGGTGCCAGAAATTGCTAGGATCTACAAAACGGACAGAGAAAAGTACAATGAACTAGCCCGCGAGTGGACAAGGAAGTATGCCATGTGATGAGTCAATTGTGACATCAGCAACACATACACACACATCGCCACAGCCCGGGCTCCACCCCACCCCTCCCCATTCCTGCCCCCAGTCAATCCCCCCATCAAATCCTAAATTTTCTGGAAATTGTATAAAACTGTTCATGGTCACTTTAGGATCAGCTTGATTTCTGTAATCTCTGATACTTTCCAAAAAGAGAATTATTGCATCTAAGTAAACACGGTACACGTTTGTGCAAATATAGTTTCTGTTTTATCTAATAAGAACATTTTCTATAAGAGCAAAATTTCTTTCCGTTTAACATTGATGTGTCGGTAGATGTCTTACATTCACATTTAGTTGAAGTTAAACATTAGTTAAATTTTCATCATTTGAATTTATGTATTCCTAAAGAATTTGTACTTTAACTAGGTCTAAATTGCATTGTGAAATTGTACAATAGCCATATGTTTAGGAATGGAGCGTTCCTTGCTTACCACAGTCCGGTCTCTTAGGATTTTGTCAATGAAAAATGTAAGTAAAGCTCATAAGTGTTAAGAACATTTTGGGTATTTAAGTAAGTGGTAATACAAAATGAGCTCGTTGACGGAGTGAGTGTTGATTTTTTTTACTAGAAAAGCAACTTTTTTTAAGTTAGTAAATGTAGCGTGCTACAGACCAGACTGACAATGATTGAAGTGGTCAGTTTTCTTTCATCCACAATATTTACGATGAAAAACGCTCCTATAGTTACAACATTCAGTATAAATTACAGTGTATCCTCATAAGATAATAAGTTACGATTAATCTAGATTTTTTTCAATATGGCGATCTTTATATTATAATTTTATCTAATATATATTGTGGTTGTAAGGATATCTGCGTTGTGATTTCCACGAACTTCCTAACCACAGCCCTTCCTTTACTTCCCCTCAACTTCATTGAACAAAAGTGTTGAATGGTATCATGGCGAGTGGCAAAACATGGTGTGTTAATTTACGGCTGCAAGAGAAGCTTTCACTTGGTTTAACACTAGGAGAGATTAAAACATAAAGCTTTTGAACTGTAATCAACCAACAAGTTGTATTTTTAGCTTCACTAAATTGTAAGAAAAAATAAATTATTGTGTATGTAAATAACAAGTTGAACTTTATTCAGGCATCTATCACCTTCCTTCTTTGCAGCTGTAAAATTACAACTGATGTTTCATCGACCTTCGTCAACTCGACGTTACCGTGTTGGAATATAGTCAAATTATATACAGCACATTAAAAAAAACATTTTAGATTCATTCGTAAGAAACCAGCGTATAAAGCAGAACATGAGGTATCTACATAAAGGTACTGAATAAATTTCACGCTTTAGGTTCAGACTGTCGAAATTAGATGTGTGTAAATAGAGGAAATGACACGAATTTGGGTCACCGTGTACTAAAATAATTTCTGACCGCTGAGAATTGAAATGGAGGTGTTCAAAATAACTCTAGAATCATTTTTGCTTTCCTTTTTCGTAATAATTGGCCGCAGTTCTTGTTTCCGACGCGAAAATAGCAACACGCCGCTTGTGGGCAAGGTTATGGTGTCTTCAAGGGCGTCTGCAGATATTCGGCAGCTGTCTCAGAACTTTGTGGTCTGACTTATTATTCCGGTTCACAGATTTTTTGTGGCATTGTAATACTAATCCATCATAAAGGTTTTTTTTACTAACTACACTGCCAAGCCTTTCAATATCTAGCTGAAGCTGAATAGGTATGAGGGATTCCCACGAACGCCATAGGCGACAGAGCACAGATTGCCATATTTAATTTCCCTCATTTTAAGTTTCATTTTTTATTCGATTTTGTAAAAGCACGTTACAGCTGTTGCGGTTCCGCTTCGTTCCGCATTAACGGTGGGGTGACCCTCTGCCGAATTGCGGCAGACCTTTGGGTTTGCCTGCTTGACTATTTAAAACTTCCTCTCTATTGCTGTACACAAGTTATATACTTCCAGAAAAGTTTCGTCTTATGAAATCTTAAAGTAATTCATATTGTAATAAAAGGCATTGATGAGAATGTTTAGTTACTCAGTAATTGTTATCTGACAAGTTTTGTATTGGTCGTCCTTCCTGTCGAAATAGTACCTTTCTATAGGACGTTGACTTTGTACACGGATTGACCATTTACGATCGGGCTGCGATGGTTGGTGGTGAAATTATTATTGTTCATTTCTGACTTATTTGTCGTCGTTATTCCTTTCAGTGGTGGAATATTTTGTGAAGGGTGTCTATAGACAGTGCATGGACACATTTGCAGCTGATGAAAATAGATAAGCTCCAAGAAATCAATAACTAACTGCTAGTCAGTATACACACGAAAGTAATCAATGTAACGATTATAATTGCGTCGGAAAACTTATATAATGTTATCGATTTTTAAGTTACGTAAGTTTACGATCTATTATTAGTGGTTGGGATACTTGAAAAAAATATGAATTTAGGTGAATTTGAACTTTTTATTTGTATTTTACGTTCTAAATGCATTTACATTCAAGAAGTCTTTAAAGTGAGAGTCAGAATGGCGGGTGTACCTTAACGGATCATGACAAATTTGGTATAAAAAAAATGTACCTAAATTGTATTATTTAGTACCTCTGTTTAAAAAATTTGTACCTCTATCAGACCGAAGTTATAGCAATATCAAAGGTACACCCGCCGTATTGACAGTCAATATGGCGGGTGTACCTTAGAATACCAGTTTTTAATTACAAGCTATAAAAACTTATTCCAAAAATTTGTACTTACTCTAAAGTAAAAGAAACTCCAGTTTGATCTGTTTATTAGTTTCTGAGATATAAAGCTAAAATTGTTCCAATTCAGTGTCGCGTGCATCTTAACGAATCCTAACAAATTTAGTGCCAAAAAAATGTACATAAATTGTACTATTTAGTACCTGTTCCTAATAAATATTGTATCTCTATCAGAACGAAATTATAGCGAAATCAAAATTGTAAATATTTTCGTATTTATTTTAAAATAATTTTTCGCCATTTATTTGGGTAGGCAAAGGTTCCACCATACAGCCTCTTTGTAAGTCAGTATCATTCCTTGTTTTTATTGAATAAGTTAGAAGCGCATGCCCTTAATATAATTTATTTCATGCAATGGTCGGAAAAGGTGTCCACATATATATAGACACATGTACATGTGTACAATATAGCTACAAGGACATGTTAAAACCACCAAAAATTTATTAATAACTTTTTTCGACTTCGAGATTTCCGGAAATGGTTTTACTGCATTGTAGGACAAAACTACTGACCTAGGAAGTCGAAGTTGGATTTTAAATTAATTCTAATGGGGCCATGTAAAAATGCAGTAGATAACTGACCTTTTACTAAAGCAGTGAATAAAAAAGGTAACGATTATGGTCACCCTCCGCGCTTTATTTATTATTAATTAACATATTGAAAAACGTATTGTAATGAGAATATTCAAATATTATATTAATTGTAGACGACAGGGTAAGCGTCCGTGTTTTTCAATAGGTCTTTTATTGATTTAGTAGTTTGATTGACATAAAATGGCATCAACCCTTCATGACATATGAAATAAACTATGGCGCATATCAGCTTTTCAATCAAAACAAGGAAAGATACTGACTTATAAAGAGGCTGTATGGTGGAAACTTTGCCTACTCAAATATACTTATGGCGGATATTTTTTTTTTAATTACGAAAATTTTTACAATTTTGATTTCGCTTTAATATTGTTCTGATAGACATACAATTTTTTTAGGAACAGGTGCTAAATAGTACAATTTATGTAAATTTTTTTTGATACTAAATTTGTTAGAATTCGTTAAGATGCACACGACACTCTGAAATCGCATAAATTTAGCTTTATATCTCAGAAACTAACCAGCAGATCAAGCTGGAGTCTCTGTTACTTTAGAGTACTATTAAAGTATAATTTTTTGGAATAATAAGTTTTTATAGTTATTAAATAAAATTGGTAATCTAAGGTACACCTGCCTTATTGACTGTCAATACGGCGGGTGTACCTTTGATATTGCTATAACTTCGCTAAACAGTACAATTCAGGTACATTTTTTCGATACTAAATTTGTTTGAAATTCTGACTCTCGCTCTATAAAGGCACAAGCATATGATAATTTATATAAGTACATGTCAAAATAGAGTTATAGTTCAGTCGTCTCCATATTTTTGGCGTTCTTCATTTGTTCCAGTTGCTGATAAAAGTTGTACTTGGCTTCATTCGTTTGTGGAGCAGTCTCGTTGGAATCGAGAGATGGAAAAGCGCCAGTGGTTATAAAATAAGGTTTTTCGTTAGACAAGTCTTGGTCAACGGCGTTCTCGTCAAGGGAATCCCGTTCACTCTGTTCATCAGATTTGTACCAGTCGTTTTCGTATGCGTGTAGCCAGATGGGATTGGAGCCTTTGGTGCTGTGCTTATTGGTGTTGGGTACGCGTCCTGTAGTGCTGCGGATTGTCATGTCAGATTCGCCCGCTGTGCCCGAGGCTATAAACAAAGTAATAAGTTATTATACGTATAGTGATGGACGACGTGTGCTTACTTGATGACCTTGTTGGACTCACTAGTGGTAAATAGACACTTGGCGTCTGAAGGGTAGATTTATAAGAATAAAAAAGAAGGTATCTACATAATAATTAGTATGACTGAATATCATAACTCACAATGATCTGAGCTGTATGGTAGAATTATGAAGAATTGAGAATCTTCACAGCCAAATTACTTTTATTGTCCATCGCAATTCAAGTAAGTTTAGGGTCTACCTTTTTAACGTTTTGCAGCCAAGTAGTTTAATTAGCCATAACTAATTGACTGGGCTTTTCACTATACGCCGTTATGTACTTTAAGACCTAAATGATGTTCAGACTTTTAACCCTAATTACTCGCGGCTATGGAATCCGAGATAAAAAATGTAAAACAAACCGCTGTCGTTTTAATAAATCTGTTAATGCGGTTCTACTCTTGACTTTAAGAGGTACGCTTATTAATTTTATGTTAAGAAGATTAATAACTATTTTTGTTTATATACCTACCTATTCGTAGTAACCAAACGCAATTTCACGGCTCAAAACCATACTAAAGGTTGTGTGTCCCCGAAACTGCCATTAGGATAACAATTTACCCAAAAACCAGCTTTTGTCAGCTTATGTAAGTTTAATAAATAGGATGTTTAAAAAATTACGTTTTCATATTTCTTTCCCTAAAATATTTTTTGTTATGGCAACACCGTTGTTTACATTTTTGACCTTGAATTCCATCGCCGAGTGTAGGGAAATCATAATTCGCAACGTTATTTAAATTTAGGGTAAATTTTTGAGTTACCCAAATCTACTGTTTCCAAACAGGTCTGAAAATACCAAGAGCACAGAGAATAGAGACAGATGCGGTCAAAAACTTCTTGAAACACAAAATGAATTATTTATATTACAAAACTATATTTACACATTGACCATTATTCCACTGAACATCAAACTACGAAAATCTTGCGAATTCGCAGCCTGGAAATACTATAATTAGTTAAATCTTTGTATATCCTTACAATAAGCAGTGGCAGTAGCAGCTTTCAATCTCCGCATGTAATCGGCGCGTTGTGACAAGCACATCATGATAGATAACACGAGTAGCACGGCGAGGAATAGTGATGTCCATACTAGCCAGAAGACTGTTTGATTCGATGATAATGTATCGGCTAGTAGGGGTTGGTATTCCGCGGGTTGTGTGTCTAGGACGTTGAATTCCTGGAGAAAGTAAAGAAGGATTAGCGCCACCAACGCCATCTAGTGGCTATGAGATTAGATAAAACCGTGACACTCAGCCTTAAATAACAACTGACAATAATCAATAGATAACAAAATTATGAGAAGGGAAAAATCAATACAAAAGTGAAACACGTACTCATTGGATTATTTAAGAAATGCTTAGGTCTATTACAAATCCGTATTATACAGCACTTTAGAAAAATTACGTTTCAAATTTCATTGGGTGACTCGACCTATAATGCATTTTTTTTTTCACACAAAACAGTTTATCGAGCTTATTTCCTGAATTAGTAATGGCTTCCTATGAGAAGTTGTTCAGTATCACGAGTAGTCATGATGAAATTTCAAACGATATAAAATAGTATTTTCCTCGGCATTTTTCAAAACCTGATATACACGTACCATTTTGGAATCATGTCCAGGTGTCAAAGGAGGTAATCTTCATTTATTGAATATCACAGTTTTACAACCATGACATTCATATATTTTTGTGAAAATACTCCAGTCCTCAGTTATTATTATTGTTACAAAGATCGAACAACACAAAGAAAAACTCCCTCGATTTGACTCGAACCAGCGTCTGTTGCTACAGACCCGATGCCAGGGCTACCGCTCTTACCAACTGAGCTACAGGCCGAGTCAGTAAATTATCATGAATTTCTCTATGTGCTTGTTGAGGATCGTTGTTTTGAGATTAAACGGTTTTTGCACTCGGCGCCACCTGTGAGAAACTTATAAGGGGTATTTTATGTATATAAATAAATACCTTGAACAATTCATCCAGCTGTTCGATATTCTTATCAACAATCCTTAACACCTGATCAACTTCGAGTACCGAATGATCCTCTCCATTCACCAAATGTAAATATAAATCAGTCTTAGTGTTATCAACGGAACCATCTTTATTTTCATGTACTCGTAAATCATCTATATTGACTACAGAATCCGCAACTTTGGCCAGTTGTGATCGAAATATGTGAATTTTTTCTCGTATTTCTGAAGGATGGGCACGGAGGACGAAACGAACGCGTTGGTCTTCCCTTAGTAGGTATATGAATACGTGAGCCTCGTCTTGTAGACCACCTGTGTCGTTGGCTATTACCTGTAATTTGATTCGTCGAGACTACTACATTTAGCCCATGATTAAGTTATTAAAAAACATATCTTTAAGATGGTCTGTGAGCTTTTAAAATGGCAGTTGCTATGTTGATTTGATCCTGACGTTCAAAATATTGAACAGAAATATCGTTTAAAATTTAAGTAACTTCTGACCTGTATTGTTAATGATGTACAGTGAACACAAAAGTGAGATGTACACTTTCAACTGTACATTGTTAGTGGTATAGAGTTGAATTTAAATCCTAAGTATAAAACTCTGCTGGCTGTTGTGTACATCTATATAAATACACACATAGCGTCTGAAACCAACCTTGAAATCAAAGTATCCTTTCATTCCTTTTTGCGGGTCGAAGTTCAAGGACACTGCCCCAGTGTCAATGTTGACCAGGAATGGCGAGACGGCTAGGTTCTCAAGGCCTTCGGTTAAAGTTTCCTTCACTTCACCATCGAGGTAATAGCTTATCTTTGCATTGTCACCTTCATCGAAGTCAATGGCCTAAAAATATATTATTCTTGTGAAATATGGACAATATTCCTATAGCGCGGAGTCATTTAAAATACAGTATTTCATATTCTATGATGTGATGTAAATATCGTTCTCTTATTCTCGTCAAAATAGGTACGAATATCATACTAAAGTTTTTACACATTCGTGTCTAGACCTTACTTTTTATACTAGAATGTTAATGATTAAAAATATAGGATTTTATTTGCGGCTAAATAAAAATGCAATACAATTATCCCAATAAATGACTATTTGAATAAAATTTTTTTGAAATAAAAAGCTTTTGAAAGAAAGAATCACGTACTGTAAGGAGATTCAATTCTATGATTGCTACTGTAATATTTTAGTATTTTATACATAACTGTGACACGTATATGCAGGAGCTATTACGTATATGAATACAGAATGGCGGCATAACAATTTAGAGATACGTCAAATAACATTATAGAGATTCCTCATCCGCGCCGCCAAATTTTATTTTACAATTTTATTACTCCATGACATATACAAATCGATGGAACAGTTGATAGATAGATCTTCCCAATATTTCTGGGATGTTTCCGACCAATTGCGCTCCTGTAGTTTGCGGGGGCAAGAGGGGGCACGTCATATGATTGGTAGAGTATTATGATCTTGACAGTGATTGGACCAGTGTCATTTGCCATACCAAAACGGTATAACTTGTAAGTAAGCAGTATTATTTGATTAATAAGAACAACGCTATAACTTGGGCCTTGTCTTTTTTCATCAGATGTGTTAAGAGGTCAAATATGCACTTTATTTTTTTTATAAAAAATAAAATAAAAAAACAAAGTAGTATTAAAAAAATATTTTACCTTTACTTGCATAAATTCAATTCCAAAATCAGCTTCAGTTGTAATACCGCCTGTGAATATCTTACTAACAAACTTAGGCGCGTTATCATTAACATCATTCACTGTTACGTGGACAACTAATGTGCTGACAAAGTCTACATCTGCTTGGTAGTTGGGTGTGGCAATACAGTCTTCAGTAGCTAGTATAGTCAGTGTGTAGTTTGCTTGCTGTTCGCGGTCTAATGGGCGAGTTGTTGATAGTCTAAAATATAAAATTGCACTTATTAAAAACGTGTGAAACCTAAAAGGGCAATTGTGAAGTAACCTGCATGTTGAACTCTAATCAAAGCAAGTCTACAAAACTCGTTGTAGACGTGTCAATGCTCAACATGCATCGAGTCAACGTGGTCAGCAATACTTGCCCTTCAGGGGATACGTACTCGGTGATAAAATGTACTATTTGCATTGATAAAGTAAACAATATTGTCGAAAATAGCTTTAGAGTAAAGTTTAATCTTTTGCAATATTCATTTTATTACATATGACTTCCATATTTTTTTGTGAAATTGAATGAACTGATCTCTGTATAAAGGTTTAGGTGATTAACTAAAAGTAAACAAACTTCAGCTGTCATAATACAATATTTAGTAGTGAGTTTCATACGTCGTATTACTGCTGTACTCTTTAAATTGGTCGCATGTTATTAGTCGTCATCTTTTTAAAGGCTGGATTTTAGGTTGTTTATCGTAGGACAGTTGTGGTACTTTGTGGGTCTTTAATTAAATATTATATTTATATTATATGTTTAGCACTACTTTAAATAGGTAGTTCGAAATGTTGTCTTATGACCTGAAAATATTATCATATATTTAGAACTATTTTAAAAAAGTTTATAATTTTACAATAAGTAACCAGGTAATGCCTCATAAAATACTTCATTATGGTTTGTTTTTTGCATTTAGTTAAAATCACCTAAACCTTTGTAGTTTATTATTACTGATACAAAGATCGAACAAAACAAAGAAAAATTCCTTAGATCTGACTGGACTCGAACCAGAGTTTGTTGCCATACCGGGGCTACCGCTCTTACCAACTAAGCTACAGACCGAGTCAGCAGATCTAAGGAATTTTTCTTTGCTTGTTGCAGACTTTTGTATTGGGTTGAAACGGGTTTCTTATTCTCAGCACCACCTAAGAGGAACTTATGAAATGTTTTGTCAATTTCTTGAAAAAATGCATGAACCGAACTCGTGTTACGTTTGCGAAGTATAATAATAGAAACCACAATACAATCAACCAACTGGAAGAACTTAGCCATACCTAGGATTTCTTATATACTACAGACAGGAGGTATTAATCTCGGTATAGCTCGAAGATAACAAACAATAATAAAAAAAATATGAAATCGAAGTATGGGCAAAAAATTCCATTATAACTGGACACAATTTCCCCATTTTGTATGAAATATGTTTTGAAACCAAAGCTTCGGAATCAATTGGGTATTACGGAGACAGACGAACGTAAGGCTGGTTTCAGACAGCTGTACGTACGGTTCGAACGGAATGTCCGCCCGCGGGCCATCCGTATGCGTAGAAACCGCAGTGTTCTCAATCGAATATTTAATTTAGTGGGGATATTTACGGAGGACAATCGCCTACAATAAACGCACAGGTGGTTTGTGCGGAGTTCATGCTGAGCGTATTCCGTACATAGTAATACGCGTCACTGTAAAATGATGTTCACCAAACGCCAGACGTGTTACTCCGCTGAAGTACTCCGCGCGGAGGGTCCGCAGATAAATCCGCACTGCTCTGAAGCCATCCTAATATGCAGTGTCAATAGATTAACGACAAAATTAATATTTCTATTTTATTCATTAGAATAAAATAGAAAAACAATGCAATCGTCATCTCCGAATCCGAAACTTGGTCTCACTGTTGGTTGTTATTAATTCTGTTTAGCCACAATTATTTTACTTATAAGTTTATCTGTTATTACGCAGCGATAACAAAGCGTGACAAGTATGTTTATCAATAACATGTTTTCTGCAATAACAATTATACCTATAATTAATATGTATTTGTAAATATGACATTTATTTTTAAATATAGGTCGTAATTTATTAAAAATAAACGACATTTGGACTGTCAATATCCAGAGTCACTTAATAAATGTAGTGTTAAATGAAGACTAGTTTTACTGCTTACTGTAATTTTTCTTTTGTTGGTACTTCGTAATAAATAAATTATTTTTAATAACAAGTAATTTGACTTTGAATCATAATATTTTGTTGAAGTTTTTATACTCCGGACAACCAAAGACACAAAAATGCAATACTTTCTGGACTGTTTTATTTTTGAATTATATAGATACGACGTGCTCTTTAGCTTCAATATTTTTCGAGTCAACAGATTATGTAACGAAGATTATTAAAGTTGATACATTTTGGCACTTATCTAATAAATTATAATGAAATGAAATAAATTATAAATAATAAATTCTTATTGTTTATTGTAATGAATCGTGAGATTCTTCTCCATATAAACGGGAATCATCATTTGAATCCTCATTAACATTAATTATTAATTCTTGGGTACACAAATTGTCAAATGCAACATCACGATCCCAATCAGACATCATCTACTTTTTTGAACCCCCGATTAAAATTTCTTCATAAATAAAATCGATTGTTATAAAAAATCGAATCGGAAACGCATTAGGATGTCACCAATGGATTAGAATTCGAGCTGTCCAAAGTTAAATAAATGGTTGGACGGAGTATAGTAGAGTTAGTAGTTAATTTTATAGTAGTAGTAGTAGTTAATTTCTTCGAAATTAATGTGCCAGATAACCACATCAATTAACACACAGAACAGCATTACTACGTTCCGGTTTTTAAGGATAATAAGGATGCCGGTGAAATTACAGGCACGTGGGCCTTGTCAACTTATGTCTCAGGGTGACGGGCGCAGTGGCAGTACCCTTCAGATCTTTGCAATTTAAAGCGCTGAGTGGCACTGCAACTGTTGGATGGACAGGCGTGTAGCTTACCATCAGGCGCACGACTCGTTCGTTCCGTCACTTGATATCATAAAAAAAATGTTGAAAAGTTAATTTCCCGGATTGGTCTTAGCGGGACTCATACCCGGGACCTTTTCACCCAGCGCGCACAATTTAAACAGGTGGGCCTCCGATGTTGTCATATCTCTGCGTGTGGTATTGATACATCGCCCATTGGTGAACACATAAAACACGGAAATTCGGAACGTAAATACGGTGTTCTTTTCAAGTTCATTGGCCCAGATAGATTTAGACATTAAATTGAGAAGCTGGTACGATATTCCCTCCGGGACACTACCCACAACAGTCAGGACCAAAAACGAAAAGTTATTTTCTTAAATTTGTCCTATCGGGAATCGAACCCGGGACCTCCTCATCGAGCGCCCACAGTGCAAACCGCTGGGCAATCGATGGCGTCAAATTCTGACCATGGATCATCTGCTTTTAAATGTGATACTTACTTATGGGTATTGCGGTGCAATTCGAACGCTCCATCCTGATTCCCCTCAACGATATAATAACACACAGGCAGAACAGGTTCATCCCCTCTATCAATCGCATCCCTTTCTATAACACTAGGGAGGTAAACCCCTTCCTCTCGATTGTTTTCGGTCATATTTACGTGGAAATTTTTATTGGGGAACCGTGGTCGGTAGTTGTCGACGTTTTGTACGTAGATTGTGAGATCTAAGTCTGAGCTTAAAGGTGTCGGGAGGCCCAGATCGTAGGCTTCTATCCTTAGCTGCGACAATTCAAAGTTAGTGTAAAAATTTTATATAGAACAAAACAGATATTTTAAATGTACACAAAAGCTTTTAATAAGCCCAATTAAAGCAGAGCAGAGAAGGGCGGTGTTTCATGAACCAATGAGGGTTTCGTTATTTTGGCATTAACATGCTACGTAATAAAAATAAGTTATTGTACATAACACTACGTGTTAGCCCACAAGATTGTTATAGTACAGTAGTATACAAAAAAGTGTTACACTTCTGCTATCCCAATTTTTTTCGTCGTATAGAATGAAATGACTTTTACATGAAACTGAGACGATCAGCACTAAAAATTTGATCAATTTTGTTAATTTTTATGGACAACTCACGCTTGACCAAAAATTCACTATGCCAAAACTGTTTTCACAAAAAAGACTCCTATGACATATGGTTGATGGTTCTTAAGACAGTTCCTTGTATCTTCTATGGTTTGGTACATCCCCACACTGTCCCATTTAAAAAAAAAAACAAGGTATATCATAGGCTTCATTCAGTACTTATTTTATTTACTTTTTAAATCGTGTTTTTCAATACCACAATTGTGAGTTACGACAGTATTTGGATCCATGTGCGATGGTGTAGTTCCTAACCCTTAAATGTTGATATCGTTACCATACTTTATATTTGTGATATTATATATTATTAAAATGAATTAAATACTCATTTTTGCTCATTAAGTAATTACAGCAAAGACAAAAGCGATTGTTTACACAAATGTACCTGATATACAGTTTGTTTGTCTCTATCAAGTGGTATGGTAGTCCTCAAGGCTCCGCTTGTAGCATGTACCGTAAAGGCTCGCCACGCGGCCGCCGCGTCCTTTCGCACGCGGTACCTCACGGCGCCGTTCGGGCCTATATCCGCGTCGATTGCTCTGACTTCCACAACTGTCGTGCCTACTGTTGCGTTCTATGGACAAAGAGAAATTATTTATTTCCTCTGTATATCATTGAATTCGATGTTGTTCGGAATTGAAGGCTTTTAATTGGAGCAATTTTTTCAAGTCTAAATCGTTCAAGCAAACTTTACAGGTCCTATGGTCACGGCTGATAAAGATGGTAAAGTCACCAGAAATAATGTAGTGTGATTAAAATATGTTTATGTACATGAAGAAAATCTGCAACTAGGGAGTCACCAAACTTATTAATGCGGAAATTGTCTTGATGCGATCGTGTTTAACCTGACGCGGCCGTCAGCACGCCGCCGCGTCAATTGTTTCTTTTAAATCAGGATCGGCCGTCGCCGGTATGCGTACGGACGCGATTGGAAATTCGCACGAAGCAGGGGGTCTACTCTCGATCTCCGTCCGACATCCGTCCGAAACAATTACTGCCAAATAAGCAATACTTGACCAAATGAAAAGACGCGTGATGCGAATGAAGCTTCATACTTGACAATTGTCTTTTAATTTTGTCGAAAATTACTTATTTGACAGTAATTGTTACGGACGGATGTCGGACGGAGATCGAGAGTACACCCCCTGACCAGTAGCCGACCAGTGGCCCTGTACTCTCGTTCTCCCATTACTGTCAAATAAGTAATACTCATCCAAATTAAAAGGATCTCAACCGCCTCCGTGGCCGAATGGTTACCACGTCAGAATGCCACGCAGAGGTCCTGGGTTCGATTCCCAGGCCGGGAGAAATATGTGCATGGCCTACATTTATTTATCTCGTGAGTTTGGGTGTACCCGCGACACAGGGTTTTCCTAGTGCGCGGCTATGTTGAGTGTATGCTTTATTATTATTATTTGACAGTAATTGTTTCGGACTCATGTCGGACGGAGAACGAGAATAGACCCCCTGTGTCGAACTGTTTAAGTTTAAACACTAACAATTTAATTTTCTTTTATATCTGTATTTCACTTGTTTTTCTTAATTTTTCTTTTATATATTGTACACTTACAATATATAATTTGAATTAAATCACTAATATTTTTAATTTATTTTTTAAACATACTTATATTATCTTCCTATTTATTTGGTTTCTATTCTAATTATTATTATATGTTTAAATATAACTAAATGGAAAAATGACGTCAGCGAGCTGATTATCGTATCCGCGATTACCTCTAGGTTATGGCTGAAAATCAGCGGTTTGCCCTTGAGTAAACACCGACGCTGAGCTATGACCTTTTTGCACTGCTGCAGCATACGTACATAACTGGGTGTCTAGCAGTGCTGCGACTCTGCTGTTTTTGTTTATTTTTTGTTTTGTTTGTGTTTTTGTGCTTTTTTATTATTTTTGTTTTTTTTATTATTTTTTTGCTGTTATGTACGTGTGAATGTAGTAACAACTAAACGTTTTATCTATCTATCTATCTAACTGCGTCCGTATGTACCGATGCGAAACACACAACGTCTTTTTCGCTCTTACATTCACGGATTTTTTTTTTCCGACCGGCTTAATGCAATTCTGCGCTAACAAGTGTGGGACTCCCTTATAGGGAAACGACTCTGAGTGAACCTCAGCATTTACATTGCCGCGATATGGAAGCAAATTATAGTAATCATAACATAATCAATTTTACGTAAATTAAAAAAAAAAACTATTAAGTATGGAATTATACTAAATTCCGTATTATTTTACGCGTACAATGTTTTCACCCACGATTTTGTGCAGAAATGGGTAAAAACCCGTTTAAAACTCGGGCGGATTGATTGGGTTTTAACCTACTACCTATCTCTGTTCATTTCTCAAACGCAAATACTAATCTTACATTAAAAATCCGGTTAAAACCCGGGCGTGTTGATTGGGTTTTAACCCACTGTCCATCTCAGTTTATTTCTCAAACACAAATACTAATCTTACGTTAAAAAGAAAACTTTAAAAAAAGTAAAAAATAAGACCATACTAATTGCTATAGTCTATTTGTTGAGGTACTTAACTAAATGTAAACAATCTCTATACGTCTTTTTAATGAAACATATGCTCTACAAATCAATAGGTATAAATATAGGCATGCAATGTCATATGAAGCTAAGTACTTGTATTTTAAGGTAAGTAAAAATCATTTTATAAACGTATATTTCATTAAATAGACATCACAATACTGTTTACATTTAGTTAAGTACCTTAACAAATGGACTATAGATCTATATTACAGCTCGACAGGTTCACACCCTTTTGGACAATTCTTAAATTATATTGATCAGTTTGTTGACGTTATGTTGTTTTACTCACCTCAGGCACCTTAATGGTAACATTTTGCGGTGGATGCATAAACACGGGAGCGTGGTCATTATAATCAGTGACACAGAGTCTAAGTTCTCCCTTGGCGACGTTCGAAGGGACGCCGAGGTCTCTGGCTTCGACTAGGAGAGTGTAGTTTCCGAATCGGTCTTTGAGTGATTGACGGGCATATAAACGCCCCGTGTTCGCGTCGCCCCCTATTTGTTCGAAGCGGAAGAGATCTGTGGATAGATTTTAAGTTTGTTATGTTACAGATTTACAATGCCAAGGCCAAGTCCCGTAAATTAAGTATGAAAACTATCCGCTGCTCTAAACTAACAATGAGCTATATAAACAGACTAAAAGAAAAACACAGTTAGCAATTGTCCTAACATATCAATATTACTCTAAATAATTAATTAATATTTTTTTAACTTTTTCTATTATACATCTTCCTCTCTTTAGTCTTATATTATTACTTGTATTAATACGAGTCAAGCAATCCCCGTTCCTGCCGATGCATATGTAATGCTTTTCCTAAACAATTATAGGAAATAATATAACGCACGCACGCACACACTCAACATAGCCCCGCACTAGGGAAATCCTGTGTCGTGGTTGCCAATGACACACATAGACAACCACAAATTACACTCAAACTTACGAGAAATAAATGTAGGCCATACAAATATTTCTCCCGGCCCGGGAATCGAACCTGGGACCTCGGCGTGGTAACCGTTCGGCCACAGAGGAAGTTTCACACGATAGACATCCGCCGACCCGATCGTTAAACAAACTAGTCGTCACCGTTAGTGGCAACGGCGTTGGGCTCACAGTGTTTATGGAATTCCGTTGTTGTGGCGTATTTATACGTGCCACTGCTGGGCACGGGTCTCCCCTCAGGCGAGGGTTTGGGCCACAGACCGTCACGATGGCCCAATACTGGTTGGGGAGTTAGCACGTTTTCCGAGGGTTGCGAACCTTCTTCGACGTGCAAGTTTCATCACGATGTTTTCCCTTACTGAAAAGCTCATGGTAAATTACAAATTAAATTTTGCACATATATTGTCTGTATCACCAACTTAATTTAGAAAAAAAGGGGGAATAAAAACGTTGTAACTTACCGTACCCCTTCCCGCCAACAAGATGGAACTGCACCCGACCGTTAGGCAAATTGTTGTCGTCAGCGTCTGTGGCGGAGACAGCTACAATAGGTTCGCGGTGATTATGGAATTCAGTTATGGTGGTGCATTCGGGTGGAAGGTGGAGAATTGGGGGGTTGTCGTTTACGTCTTCTATGTACACTCTGCAAACAAAAAATAGTCTTTTTTTTAAGTTTCATTTCATTTTTTTCATTTCGTTTCATCATGATATTCAATTTTTATTGGGAAACTGCTCCACTAGCTTGTTATAATTATTAATAACAAATATAGAACACTTTAAAAAATTCCTTTGATACAACTGGATTCGGAACAGCACTCTCAGGCAATCTCCGTGCCAGATACTCTGCCAATGAAGCCACGGAACGAACCAGCAGATTTTACGAATTTTTCTATATGCTTCTTGTCAAAGTCAAATAATCATTTATTCCATAGGTAAAATTTTTACACTTGAAAACGTCATTTTTAAGCTGCATTTTAAGTTACTGCTCGTTGACTATGCTGACCTCCCTGCGAAGAACGAGCAAGAAACTCTAGGGATTGCTCCTTTCAAATAAACTTTGAATCATAACTGTGTCATAATCTAGACTCTTGCTATCTTTTCATACTATTTTATCTAAAACATACTCTTCAATTTTGTAATATGACTTTTCATTTAAAATACTTTTAATATAAGTTTTAAACTTAGGAAATGATAATCTTAATATATTCTCCGGAATCTTAGTGTAAAAACGTATACAGCTCCCCATAAAAGAATCGTTAAAAGAAATCGTGGTGCCATGAGTTTGGACTTAGTTCTAAGGTTAATATTATAAATATCTTCTTTGTTAATGAAATTATGTATATTTTTACGGGCATACAAAATATTTGAGTAAATGTACTGCGATGCCACACTCATGATTCCAGTCTCCTGAAACTTTTCTCTGAGAGAAACCCGAGAACCTAAACGGTACACAGACCGATCGAATAAATTTTTCTAAGTGTTCCTTTGTTATTAATGATTATAAAAAATAGTTGTGTCAGAAAAATGTCTTTAACTTATATAAGTAATTATAAAACGTTACATGTCCACGTGACGTCGTCAATGGACGCCACTGAATCTTACACTTATCATTATGTAACTTACACAATTTGCTTAAAAGCGTTCCTGCTCTCCCCACTGAGGTATCCGAACTGGTAATTATCCCACGCCTCCACAACCAAGTTGTACGTCGATTGCGTCTCGCGGTCCAACCAATCGGACACTGTCAGAGCGCCGGTTTCGGGATTTATTAGGAATTTGCCCTGAGAATACAAACGGTTATAATGAAATATTGTATTAAAGGTTGAAAATGAACTCATTTCACTTTAGTGCCAATAGTATAGTCTTGTGAAAAGAAAGGGCAATAATAGAGTAACGGCACAATTATTGTATTGAGCACAGGGAAATTAAGGTATAGAGGGATGGAGATTTTTCCGGGGGAGAAAGTCGACCTCAGCGCATAAATGGTTTTCTAGAATAGCGTTCTATGCCGTAAGAAACAAATTCATCAAGATAGTTTAAAAAACTGAGATGTGTCTGCCGCGCAAAGTTGACGAATCGTAGACCATTCCAATATTGTCACGTGATTATTCTAACCAATGAAAAGATCGGAATGCCGATCACAATAAAATTTAGCATTTTCTGAATAAATCTCAGTAATATGTTCACATAAACATCAATTTTGGATTTTTTTTATAATATCAAGTGACGGGACGAACAAGTTATGTGTCTGGTGGCTACATGTCTGTCCATCACAGTTGAAGTGCCATTCAGAGCTTTAAATTGAAAAGATCTGAGTGGCACTGCCAATGCGCCTGTCACCCTGAGACATAAATTGACAAGTCCTATGTGCCTGTACTTTCTAGATTAATAAAACTATGTCTAAATTAGTAAAATAAAATCAAACCTGCGTAGATATCCTATCAAGCAGATAAGTGATCTTCCCGTACTCTCCCGAGTCGGCGTCTCTAGCTACGATGTCGGCTATAGTTGTTCCGGGTTCGACGTCTTCGCGAACTCGGTACTCGAACGTCGATGACTCGAATACGGGATTATTGTCGTTTTCGTCTAGCACCTGTGTACATGTTATTCGTTACTTTTCAACAATAGTGACTCAAACCACATAGATTGATACACTTTATTACTTACCCACAAAACAAAAAGAGTACATTAACAACTTAGAACTAATGTAAGCAAAGGTGGTTTTATGGCTAAGAGAGATCTCTGCCAGACAACCTTTGAGACAGAGGAAAAACAAAACACAGTGGGAGATGTAGTGTGCCAATGGCAACAATTTAAATGCATAAAAAAACCAACATTATATAATTATCAAATAATAAATAACCAAATCATACACCTACATAAATAATGCTTTTTTTTAAATGGGACAGAATGGGGAAATCCAAAACCATGGTATATACAAGGAAACAGTCTTAAAAACCATTAAGTTTTTTTTGTGAACAGAAGTCGGTTCGAGTCCCACCAGAACGAAGGATTTTTTCTTGGCGTTGTTCGATACTTGTATCAATTAATAACGAAATGTAAAGTTCTTACTTACTTGTATAAACATATCAGCGACGGAATATCTCGGCGGCACACCGCTATCTACAGCTTTCACAGTGAGATTAATCCAAGGGTATTGTTCGTGGTCGATTTTGTTTGCTACCACTATCTCGCCCGTTTTGGATTCCATGTGCACTAGATTTAGGAGATCTTCTGGACCTAAGTGGACAATAAATGTATATCTACAGACTCTATTGCCGGAGAAAGAACATTTTGTTCGTAATCTTGACTACAGTCTGTAAAAATACATGCATAGTTGCACAGTGATTCTTTAACTCTAAATGATTTCTTTCCTGACTAAAACTTATTAAAAGTGACAACTAAATTGAGTTGCTAATTGCTGTTACTGATCAAAATGGGCATTACAGACCAACGACATAGCTTCAAAGTAAATTAAAACAGAGTTATTTCTAAACCAGTTTACAGTACATAATATATTACTATTCATCACTTCGATAAAGTAAGATACGATGATCGGACTATAGTAGTGATTTTCTATTTTAAGTTCCAGTTAACAAGTCCTGGTGGAACTGTCACAGCAGTAGTATATTTTTTATCAAGGGACTAAAACGAGCCTGTATACCCGAGGTGGTTAGACACTCGAGGTTTAGCGAGGGTGTCTATTACTCCGATTGTTTACATTGTCTTTTAGTCTCGAGGTGAAAACTTTACTTTTCACTTTTATTGCGAGAAAAAATATCAATCGTTTTTGCTCTACAACAAACTTAAGTACCACGGATTTTTGGTTCGTAATTTTCGTAGTTTTCGCGGTATTTCTTTTGCGAACCAGACACAGATACATCAAACGCACTAACGCGAAAACAATATGGGCCATCGTCTATGCGGAAAAGGAACTAAAACCGAGCGTACTACTGGCTGCATGAGTTTGTTCACTCGAAGTAAATTAAAAAAATACCTACTTTTTACAGGATGCATTTTATTCCCGCTACGTAAGGCTAAATTGACATACTTTTGGAGTATGAGAAGTGAAAAGGTTTTAAGGATTATAGGATATGTCTGAATAGTAATGTGAGTATTTCGTACAAAACAAAACTTATACTTAACTTATACCTCTCAATGCTTGGCACGAGTCTCTTCAAAGGAAAGACAGTTAAAACTTACCTTCAAGAAAATACGTCATGCTCCTATTTTTGTCTGCATCATCAGCGATGACAGTTGCGATGTTGATTCCAATCTTAGAATTTTCTGGAATAGAAGTTTTGTAGAATGGCTTGCGGAACTTCGGATTGTTGTCATTCTCATCGTCTACTACAACTGTGAGCGTGGCAGAAGCTGTCTGCCGTGGACCGCCTTCGATAGCTGCCATGTCTTCCACTGTTAGTACCAGCTTTATTGTTTCTACCTTTTCTCTATCTAGGAGTCTGGAATGAAGAATATAAAAATACTTAGGCGTGTTCAAAAGCATGCATGTACCATTTGCCACACCATATCTTTTCATCAGGTGAGTTTGTGATCAAATGTTTGGCTACTACGTACTACATAAAAATCACCCGCCGTCAATATAAGCTAATCCTCCCTGAACCCAAATTAGAAATGTTTAAAAAGGTCCATTGCATAGTTCAATTTTATTCTACAATAAAATCCCAGCATTTATTACACAACAAGCAATATCTTATTCACAAATCATATTATTCGGTAAATGAGTATATGTGTGAAATATAAAGCTGAAAAATAAACTAACCAAAACGCGGTTAAGTGATAAATGGTCAAATATCCGCTTTGAATAGCAAATGATAGAGCATAAAATTCTCTTTTATAACATTTAAAATTAGTTAACATGTTCGACTTATTGGAATTTACCCTAACGATGCATAGCTGAAATATCATTAAACAATTTCAATACTCAAAAACTGGGTTATGGTTTTTATGATATCTCAAAAAATATTTTGTTACTTAGCCGCGTTTTACTTAGAGGATGGCAGAAAGGAAAGACTCCCGGAAAGCTCACGTCGTCCAGTGTTGGGCAAAATTTAATTGTTCTGGCAATTAAAGATTGACAATTACGAAACAGCAACTAACAATTGATCAATTGTTAATCGCGTATATCTACAATTAACAATTAAACAATTTTCAATCTTTTCAATGTTTTTGATTAACAATTAAAACTGACAATTATGATTTTAAATGGGGGTGAGTTAAAGGGAGGGTTAGGGCGTGGGTTAGAAGTGGGTTAGGGGGTGGGTGAGTATGAGGGTGAGCGGGTGAGTGGGTGGGTGAGCGGGTGTGTGGGTGGGTTGGGTTAGGGGGTGGGTCACTCACTCTCAGACCGCCCCCCAACCGGCCCCTCAAACGGTCTCCCAACAGCCCCCCCAACCGACCGCCCAGCCGGCCCCTCAACCGACCCCCGACCGACCACCTAACCGACCCCCAAACCGACTCCCTAATCCACCCCCTAACACACCCCTAACCGACCCCCTAACCCATATTCGTAATGACACTTTTATTCGGTACTTTCGGTTTTAATTGTTAGTTTCAATTGTTTCTTAGAACAACTAATTTTGCAATTAAAATCAATTCAACTGAAATCAATTGCAATTAAATTGCGACACTTCGCAATTTAATTGAATTTTTGATTGAAATTTAATTGATTACAGCCCAACACTGAAGTCGTCCAATTTAATTTTAAAATAATTATTAATTAAAATTTAGTAATAGTTTATAGATTTAGTTTTTAAGTTTATTTACAACACTCTGACTGAGTTATGTACAATACTGTTTATTGTAAGACGTTTTTATATTATGTACATGTGCAATATGAGATAAATAAATCAGAAATATAAAAGTCGGGTACTTTTATATTTCTGATCCCATATTTCTACAGCATTCACGGAAAAAGTGAACTTAAGATATAAAAATATTCGATCACTATCATTAATAGGACTATAATAAGGGATCTTAATGCACAATTTAACTAACTTATCTTTTAAGATAACCGTAATTGTAGCTTCAATATGTGTCAAAGAAGTGCCCACTCAGTTAACTACCTATATTTCAGAGTATGATTCCATAGCATGCAATTTTCCGCTGACGACTTTTTTGTTGTTTCTCTCTCTTTGTACATCATCATAAACAACTTGTACGTACCTCACCACTCTTAAAGTGCCGTCAACAGAGTTCAAATCCCAAAGCGCGAGATAGTCAAACTCTGACACTGGAACGGGGATACCGTCTTCGTCTCGAGCAATGCTGGCTTTTTTGTCTACAGAATAACGTAGTACTGGCTGGTCGTCCAGGTCTTTGGCACGTGCTTGGTATACTATGGTTCCCACCTGAGTAGAAGCAGATACTCAATGCATTTCAATGTATACTGTATTGCAATCACATAAATAAATGTAGGTCAAAGAAACATCACTAAACAAATTTAAGCGTAAGTGTGTTGTGCTGATATTTCTGTAGGTTATTTTATTTCGACAGGCAAAAAGGGGTACCACGAGTTTCTTACAATTCATGTCAGGGAAAGCTGTCTTCCAAAAGACTATCTTCCGATACGACTAGCATAGTTTAAGTCTAATCCAGTTGAAATAAAAAAATAAACCGCCCAGTAGCGTGGCAGATTTCTTTTGCCGTTACTTAATTCGCCTTAATTACATTCTTAGAGGGTAGGAGAAAATGCCTTATTTCGCTACTACGTAGTGCAAACACGATAGTCGCACTTGTAATATTTAACCATGGTGGTCTTTCATGTCTTCATTAAGTTTAAGTCTTATTTTATTCAATTTTAATAAATTTTTAATTTTCAGTTTATTGTAATATTTTTTTTTGTTACAAGAAACGAAAGTAAACTTTCTACCGCTGCAATATGGTCGCTTCTTTTTTGGAGAACTAAGTAAACATTTCGAATTAGTCGTTCAGATATTAACCGCTGGATAGCAGCAAATTAATTGAAATTTCAATATAAAATCAAAACGTAAACAATATAGGAATTAAACTTTGAACGATTGCCAAAAGGGTAAAGTTTAAATTATATTAACAGTCTAGAATACTTTTTATTTATTACTAGGAAGTACGACTAGTCATTATCAAGATTTCATAGTGTTTTAACATTATGAATGTGTGAGTTTAGGTGACAGCGGTTCTGATAGTAATCAAGGTTTAAGACATTTCCATTGTTTTTTCTTCCATGTGTTTTGTCAAGAAAAATAATATTTTGGTATTTATTAAAAAAAAAGTTCAAGGCGATTATAAAAATTTGTAGTTATTTCAAATTGTGTTTATGATCCAATCTGGGTCGCTCTAAGAAAACACCCCTTTGATAAATAATTTATATAAAAACCATTGATATATATATTATTACCTGTGTGTTCTCCTTAATAGTGATAGTTCCGGGCTCAACGAACACTGGCGGCTTGTTATTCACATCGACGATTGTAATGTTGACTAGCACAGCTGCGCTTAGTTGCTGGTCGCCTATACCGCCATCGAGAGCCACCTGCATTAATAATGGTTATCTATAAATTTTACAAACGATTTAATTTTGAGATCTCGATTACATATTACCAGTTCTGAAATTATTTTTTGTGATGGTGATCATAAGATCTGAAAAGGGCTAGAAACGTGGATTAGTATGAAAAAAAAAACAAATATACGCAATTTATGTCCGAAAAAATTGTTTCTTTTGCAATTAATTACATTGTTAATGATCGTTAGCCAGATTTTGTGAAGTATAATTGCGGAACCGGATGTCTTAGGAACTTATAGTATGTTGCGAAAGTTAATTAAAGAAAATTCCCTACGGGGCAATACCTGGAATATTCAGACCAGAACCCCTTCAAATAATTTCATTTTTCAGATTGATCGAACGGTTAAGGTTTGCAATGTCGTCAAATCAAAGTCCAATCTCGGTCAAACGCGTGTGGCATTTAAACATCGCCCATTGGTAAACACATAAAACCACCATAAACACATAGTGTCTTTCCAAGGCGAGAGTGAATAGGCATTATTTAGGTACGCGTGCTCCATCGTCGACCTCATCGTCACTTTCCATCAGGTGAGATGGAGGTCAAATGCGCACTAATATATTATATATAAAAAAAGTGCCAATGGAAGGTTTTTTAAAGATTTCGGCTCACCGCCCAGTTAGGCAATATAAAAAAATTTCAAAGTCCACCTCTACAAAAAACAATTGAAATTGCGTCTAAAGCCCCTAGGACTCCTCAGCGCCCGCTAGGTGGCGGGAGGGACTACTGTGGGTAACTATGACATGGATTAAAATCAGATATACATTTTAGATTGAGAAACTGTTACGTACCACAGTCAAAGTGTATCTGTTACTTTTGGGGTTGGTCTTATCGGGGTCCAGAGAGGATCCGTTCGCGACCGAGACCACGCCGGTACGCGAGTCGATGACGAACTTGTCGCTAGCCCCGCGCTGGATGCGGTATACGATTTTGTTGTTTGGTGAAGAACCATCGCTGTCACGAGCTTTCACCTGCAGAAACAACTTTCTATGACGAAGCAGGAAAACACACTATATGACAAAAGTATTAGAAAGTATTAGAAAACGATAGAGATCGAATGATTTTTCCAAATGGTACTCGAGATAGTGCGCGGGCACGCAGGGATCAACGAATTACTGAAAGTTTAAATCAGTATATCATTGAGGGAGTAAATGAATAGTGTATTTATGACGGTTTAGTGACAGCTCTAAAATACGTAGTTCAATATTGTGCCAATAGGAGGCACCTTAAAATATTCAACCGGTTTTTGTAAAACTAGCACGTTCGAAGTGTAGTAAGCGTTACCAATTCAGCATGTCATGACAAAACTAAAAAAAAACACTGTGGTACATAATTTTATGTATATAAATCAAATGCCATCTGTCCTTTTTTTCTATAATCTGGCTAGAAGAGTTTCTGAGTCGCACTTCGCTATGACGTTAGTGCAATAAGCGTGTACAGAATCAACAACACACGTAAATCTACACGCATGTTGTATTATGTTCTTATAAATTCACTATAACACCTCATTAATTCATTTCAAATTCAAGGGCCTATATGAAGCTCTATAAATGATCTCATTTAATCGTGTACATTACACGTGTTTTGTTATACTGAAAGGTAAAGCGTGAAGGTCGCAGATAGAACTGGTGCCTGTCCACTAAAAGATATTAAGGTAATATGCACTAGGGAATACCGAAGTTACAGGCACATGGGACTTGTCAACTTTTATGTCTTAGGGTGACGGGTGCAGTCGCAATGCCCCTCAGATCTTTGCGATTTAAAGCTCTGAGTGGCATTGCAACTGCTATGGACAGGCGTGTGTGTAGCTTACCATCAGGCGCACGACTTGTTCGTCCCGTAACTTGATATTATAAAAAAAAATAGCCTGTATGAAAAATTTCTACGCGAGTTTTAAGAAGAAAAAAAGATATTAAGAAATATGATAAAGTGTGAATTTGGAAGGATACGCAATTTAAAATAAGGAGATCTTATACCGTTACACATACCTCAAGCACACTAGTGCCCCCCGGCATATCCTCGGGGATAGATCTTTTGTATAACATCTGCTGGAACATTGGGGCGTGGTCGTTCACGTCCTGCACGTAGATTGTTACAGGTACCGTCGACGACAAGGGCGGTATGCCGAAGTCGCGCGCTCGAACCTTACAAACGCAAATTGAAATCAGTAAGCATGACTTAAGCGGTTTGATAGTTAATAAAAAAAAAAATTGTTAGCCTATTTATAGGCTCACAATGGGTTTACAGATTTGTGCAGGTTTCCTCACGATGTATTCTTTCACCGAAAAGCTCATGGTAAATTTGAAATTATATTTCGCACATAAATTCCGAAAAGTCCTATGACTTTGTGCCTAGGCACAAGTCCGAATTCGAACCCGCGACCCTATGCTTGAAGTGGTAGATCAAACCATTAGGCTATCACGGCTTCTATATAGGTAGGTAGATAATTATAAACCTGTAATTGGATTGCTTGATTTAAGAGAATTTCATTATTTTGTACATTATTATATTTATTTATTTGTCCAAGAGTATGAGACAATGTCAAAGAATTATTTTTCATGCGTCACTGAAATATTCTTCTTAAAATTCTTTAAAAAAACCATCACCTTGATAAATTACACTAAGAAGAAAGAAAAAAAAACCAAGAAAAGTCTCACAGTCAAATGTATTGGCCGAATGTTGCTATTATCCCCAGGTATTTGCTCGAAGTCGAGTCCACTCACAGGCGTGATGATACCGAGGTTCGGGTCGATTGAGAAGTTGGATTTATAATCGCCTCCCACTATTGAGTATTCTATGTGGCTATTCTTTGTACCTGGTAAGAGGAATATTTTACAGTAATTTTAAAGGAGAAAGTGTGTTTTGAAGAACATGTACATGCTAAAGTACAAAGTCACTTGGTTCAACAAATATTACTCTAGTCTACACACTTACAAATATTATAATTGTAGAGTATCTCAAAACGTATGTATTTAGTTCCGTATTATATTACATTAAGGTTGTGGGAGAGGACCACAGAGCGCCTGTACTGAGGCATCTCGTACGGGCAATGTTTCCGCACGCGATGCGTCGTAAGTACATGACATTTTAAATAATTAAGTAATATGTTATATAATATTCCTACTAACAATAGCTTATAAGTTTTTTTATCTATTATACTAACACCAATGGATCCTGTTATCTGAAAAGAAATATTTTGAATTTTGAATTTGAATGTAACGACAGAGCTTCATGTAAAGTCGAGAAAAGCGGTGGTGGGGTACATGAGGCAGCAACTTAGATTACAACAATACATACATACATACGTAACTACAATCCACTGCTGCCCACAAATATCATCAAGATCAAAAACAGTCGTAGAATTACCAATGTCGAAAAGTCTATATTTGTAGTACAATTGGTCGTATAGCACTATTTTAAATTGCACTGCAAATGCACTACAATTGTTGAGGGTCCTTCGATCAAGTGAACAAATGACTGTATACTGTATATACCATGCAACTTATCCGGATATATTTTTTTCTATGAACTTAAGGCTGATCAGTAATTATTTTACAAATACTTATTCTTACTAAACTGACCTGCTTGCTGACTAAATTATAAAATTTATTAGAATCTCCCATATATATAGCGGCACGGTGTCTGCGATACCGTACTGGCCTAAGCGATGTGGCCGCGGTTGCATCCGGCCAATCAGAGCGCGCGAAACTATCTCGCGAGGTTCAGAAATACTAATGTTCGCTATCAAGTGACGAGACGAACAAGTCGTGCGTGGTAAGCTTATAACACTTGCAATGCGACTCAGAGCTTTAAATCGCAAAGATCTGAGGGGCACTGCCACTGCGCCCGTCACCCTGAGACATAAGTTGACAAGTCCCATGTGTCTGTAGTTTCACCAGCGCCCATACCCTTCAAAGTCGGAACGCAGTCATGTTCACGTTATGAAATAGGTATGGTGGCAGTATGAACAGTGGCCAGGACGAACTTTCACAAAAGTTCTACTGCTGCTAAAACTCTGACTGACGGTTTCAATTACCTCTTTTTGTAAAGAACCTTAGAACCTTATAGCCTAGTTAAAGTTAACCTTTTATGATGTCAGGCCGTTTTTCGAGTTGAAGTTCCAATAAACTAGTCGTTGATAAAAAAATGTTAATTAAATAGTTGTTTTTACATCGCCATTCTCATTGCTTCGGGTCTGGTACAACGCGATTCGCTGCCCACCGATGACGAAACAAAGTTGGCACGTACTGTGTTAAGTGGTCTGTTTAAGCCGAATTTTTGTCGACTAATCCGATGAGACCCTTAGACTATGCAAGTGTATTTACTAAGACGTTAAAGCACTCACCATTCAAATCAATATCCCTCGCTTCAAGCATAAGAGGGTTCTCAAACTGTCGTTCGTTCTCAAGCAATCTAGCTTCGTACTTATTGCCCAAGAACATAGGCGCATTGTCATTCACGTCTTCAATGTTTATGATAAGCTGGGCCGTGTTTCGGTTGCCTCGGCCTAGATCGTCTCGGGCTTCGACAGTGAGGTAGTGACGGGAGACGAGCTCCCGGTCGAAATTGTCTCCGCCCGCTTGTTTAACTGTTATTACTCCTGATATTTGATTTAGGTTAAGACTGAAAATAGGGTAAATTTGTTAAAATATTATGAAAATCGTATGTAGTTTAATGAAAATGTTCATTGGTGAAATGGTTGATAGGAAGTGAAAGCCATGGTCATGCAGTAAGCCGTGATCATGGGACCTGTAAAGGGCCGGTAAAATTGGTTTGTTTAAAAGAAATAGGCGGTTTTATTTCCAATTGTATTAATAGTGAAAACCTAAGAAATAGAATTTCTAAATAAGTTATTTTTAATTGTGTCGGTTATCTTCTGGTGTGTGTAAATACGATATTAGTGGCAGACAAGAACAAGTTTCGATAACAAAGGATTTGCATAATTTTACTAATGTTGCAAAACAAATTTTTATTCAAAATTAAACTATAAATTATCGACCTAAATGAAGGTTAATTAAAACAGCTTCAAATACTATCAGTCCAACAGCAACAAATCAAAATCCGTAAATATAAGCTAAAATAGTGATGATCAGAAGATTCCAGGGGGTCTACTCCCGTTCTCTGTCCCGACAACTCATTCGAAACAATTACTGTCATATAAGTAATACATAATAATAAATAAATAAATAAATAACGCACACACTCAACATAGCCCCGCACTAGGGAAACCCTGTGTCGCGGGTGCCATGGACACACACATAGACAACCACAAATTACACCTAAACTCACGAGAGAAATAAATGTAAGCCATACAAACATTTCTCGCGGCCCGGGAATCGAACCTGGGACCTCTGCGTGGCAGTCCGGCATGGTAACCGTTCGGCCACGGAGGCAGTTGAATAGGAGTAATATTCGACCCGTCGCGTCGAGTGTATAACCAGAAACAAATAGAGATGAAATGTCATTTAATTTGTTTGAAAACTATTCTGCCGTATCATTACTTTCGCAACTGTGCTCCGATTGGCCAACCCGAATTCGAAACAATTGACGGGTGTCGTCAATTGTTTCACTTCAAATCGACCAGTTAATTTGAGGTTTGTTATAATGGACAAAAATTGCAAAATTACATATTTAATTACCGATGAAATTTGGTTCCGTTTGTCTCGTAATTAGATGTTTTGCTGTTTCCCCCCACACCACCGAATGGAACACCATTGTTAGAGATATTTTCTGTGTTACAATAAATACAGAATATTTTTGGAATATACGGAGACGTACACACAGGTCAGTTGTTGGAGCTGTCCATATTCCAGTGTAAACGAGGGTTGATATATAATAGTGATGTATCACTGATGAGTTACCAGGAATGTATGGCTCTTATTTCGTCTCTATTTCTGGTTATTTATTCGATGACTCGACTAAATTAAGAGACGTACGATGCGAATGAAGCTTCATACTTGACATTGTTTTTAGATTTGGTCAAGTATCACTCATAAGATAGTAATTGTTTCGGACGGAGAACGGGAGCAGAGACGAGTGATCTAGCCAGAATCAAAACCAATTGAACACAAAAAATTCACTCGCGAATCATTCATATTGTTTCATGTGCACGGACACAGTGCGACTCGCAATGGTCTGACAACATAGCGTATTATGCTTAAATACCGAATCCCAGAGTCATATCCATTCTAAACACAATGATTGAAAATAGTCATATCCATTCTAAACACAATGTTTGAAATCATTGACCCGAAATAGTTTTAAATACTCCGATCGTTGGTTTTCACACACGTTACGCTAATTGGCACAGGTTTTCTCTAAGGAGAGGGTCAACAGGTCAATATTCAAGATGTTCTCTGGGATGAACCAAATACTGTCGTAACGTAAAGTTGTGGAATTGAGAAAACACGATTTGAAAATTTAAAAAAATAATGGATCTTGTTCAGTAAGTTGTTTAAACTTTCAAATTGTGTCTTCCAAATGTTCAAAGTCCATAATTTTGAGTTACGAGAGTATTTGGTAATAATAAATAAAAACAGCCTATCCAATATAACACTATATACTTACAGATTAGCAATGCTTCCTCCTAAGTTAGTATATCTAATTCCTCTAGTGCCATAGTTATCAGAATCTTGGTCCAAAGCCTGTACCCAAGCGACAGTAGTGCCAACTCCGCAGTTCTCTGGTATCGACACTGTGTATAAAGTTTCTGTAAACTCCGGAAAGTTGTCATTCTCGTCTTTTATATGCACCATTATTGGGACTACACTGTGAAAGAAATTATAAGGTTTGAAAGACGCTCTAAAGACAATTAGATTCTAAACAAAATTAGAGTGTACCTGTGATTACAGAATTATTACCAATACTGAAGTATAGACATACTCCATTATTAAGCTTCATAACAGCTGAATAGGTTTTGGTAAAACTTTCAAATATTATAGAGAATCACATTACTTAGAATCTGCCTTTCAATTCATCATGATATCTTAAAGGGTTTCGAAGTTTGGTTTCCAAGGTTTTTTAAATGGCGAACAGATTATCTGGATTTTTTTATCTTGAAGCTTAGCAACAAGCTCTTCAAGCTAATGACGCAACAAATTGGATTTTCATAAACTAGTTATAAATGAATAAATAACAGTCTTAAATTGTATAAAATATGAAAACAAATCGTAAATAAACCTAAGTAAGGCTTATTAACCAGAATGTTATATATATAATAACTAAACACAATTTTCTAAAATAGGATATGGGGTGTCAACAGTTGTGTGGCGGCCTTCATACTAAGATAAAAATTTAAACTACAGGTACTAAAGTAACAAATAAGAAACATAAAATTTTAAACTGATGCTTACCTCATTTTTGGATCTTTGGCAACAACCTCTTTAGCAACCAAGCTGAAGTTCATCACAGTAACACTTTCGTAGTCCAGGAATGACGCGTCGTTTACTCTGATTAGAAACGAAGCCTCGTTTATACCTTTGAAGGGTGTCACGTCAAATACTCCATTATCTCCTACAAGGTACAATTCAAAGGTACCATTTTTGCCCTGAAAATGGGAGCTTCGTGAAATAAAACATAAATAAATATACAACAATTTGGCCTCAAAATAGGAAAACCTCTGTAACGTAAGTACCACAGCAACAGAATTCACTCCGGGGCACTATTTGAAATAGCCCAAAAGAATCATTTCAGAAAAGTTCATTTCTCAACTTCTAGAACCCACACATGAATTTCACATTCTAATTGGGTCTAAATGGGTCTTCTTTGGGATACCATATCTGGACATAATTCAGCATCCATTGTTGACTTCAATTTAAGGAAAGTTTCTAATGAGTTAAGAACTGACTTTTCAAAGAGTTTAGTCTACCTGATCATAATCAAACACTTCTGGTATAGCATCCTGTAGAAATGTGATAGGTGTGTTCTGTTGAGCATTCTCTAGCACTTCCCCGATGTATCGTTCACTACGGAATCGAGGTGTCTCATCATTCACATCTGTCACAATCACTGTGACTTCTGTTGTTGCACTTGGCATGGGTGATACAGATCGTGATTCTTCTGTAGCCTGTATGGTTGAATTAAAATTGGTGATTTTATCTTAACAAACCGTATGAATGCAACAGGTTTTACAGCACTCTCTAACAATTGATATTTATGAATTAATACCAGAACACACAGTCTCACCAGTATCTCCAAAATATAAGCTCCATTGCTATTATTGGGGTCCTCTCTGTCAAGCTGGTTGATGGTATACACCACCCCAGAGCTGCTGTCAATGTCAAAATGATCTTCTCCGCCTGATATGATGCTGTATGAGATACGGTTGTTGATGCCTCGGTCTCCATCAATTGCTCGTACTGCAATTAATGAAAGTAAATTAGTACAGAGGCTTGTATTCTTACTTATGACTATATATAACTTATGTTTCAGGGTGACAGCGGCAGTGTCCACAGATCCTTGTGATTTAAAACTCTGAGTGACCTTGCAACTGTTATCAATAGGCATGTGGGTTATGACTAGGTGCTCAACTTGTCCCACTGTTTGGTATCATAAAAAAATACAATGTTAATAGGTTGCCAAATCTGGCAAAATACTAGGATCCTACTCTGAGGGGGCCCTGCCTTGTTGCAGCTGAAGCTTACAGACCCTACATGGATTTACATAGATATGAGCATGTGTGTTATTATATTTTATAAATGAAACATTGCTGAACTTTATTGAAGGCCTTCTATAAACAGGTTTATCTAAAATAAATGATTAATTTCTTTTTCTATCTCATACTCTTAAAGTTCGTATTTATACTGGGTGTAGGCTGCATAAAATAGGATTTTATACTCTAGTGCATAAAGCAAAATCGTCGTTTAAGACCGAGGCAATTACGCCTGCGCCAACAGCCACTAACACAGGAACTTTATATAATAAAGTTTTACTTTTTAGTTTTACGTTATTATTATATTATAAACCTTTATTTTTTTTTAATCCTTGTTATATTACAAAATTAAAATAGTAGGCAATAGTAATTCTAATAAGTTTAAGAAATAGAAATGCATAAAAAATAAAAGCTTGTAAAATATAACAGAGCATTTTGTAGTCCGACCTGAGTCACATGTAGAAAATAATCATTTATTTGTAATATTGGTGTTTAATTTCCTCGCAATCGAAGTGAAAAGCAGAGTGTATAACTCTTTCATAAAACCCATTTTACCCTCGACTTAAGTATCCATATACTCATCTCGGGTAAAATAAGGTGTTATATGCACTTGTTGTACAATCTACTATAATATGTACATACATAATAAGCACCTTACATAGTACACACTGGGTATACATAATTTTTTAGTTTTATGGAATTTGTACTATGTCACTTCCACTTTTAAAACTTTTGTCTTAGCTTGGTGAGTTTTGTCAGTTTAATGTGACAATAAATGTAACGCAAAATAAACTAGTCGTTATTAGGAGACTGTAGCTGTGTGTCACTACATGAGGTAAATGTTTAAGCCTGAAGCAAATTAATTTCAACTACAAATTTATGTATTTGGCAGCAAACTGTTTGTGTTATGGAGTCTACAGGTGCTTTTACACTAAATCTACAGTGTATATACAAATCTACAATATTTTATAAGTTACGGCTCCATTATGATACAATCTATAATTCCTCCAATGTCAAAGTAAACGAAGATACACGTACATTGCTTCAGATCAGTAAAAAAATTAATAACTGTTGGTATAAAGCGATGGTGTAGTTAAATCTACGTTATTTATACTACAACTCAACCATACTTGGTTGAGTTGTAATATAAATAATGTAGATTTGGAAGATTTAGTTTGTAGACCGTTCTAGGCCTCGGCTAAATTCAGCCTTCATTTCCAATCCTCGAAAACCAATAGTTTAGGTTTAGTTTCGGTTTAAATTGAATATTGAACAAGAAAAGCAATACCTTCTAAAACAGAAGTTCCAATGGGCGCATCTTCACTAATCCTTGTAACCGGGCTGGCGACAACGAACTCCGGGGGCTGATCCTCTTCATCCTGCACCTTGACTAGTATAGCCGCAGTCCCTGTGTTCACCCGCCCTTGATTCGCTCTATCAACCGCCAAAACCCGTAACTGATACAACGACTTCTTCTCATAGTCTAACCTATTTATCAAGCGAATAACACCTTTTCCATTCACTGTTTGTACAGCGAAGTTCTCCACATCACCATCTATCTCTTGTAAGTGATATAATACCTGAAAATACCCTTAGTTTTCGTAAAAATGCATTTCTCACGGAAATATAACAAAATAGACGCCATTTTTGTTGTTGACAAATATCGCATCATGACATTGACGGCACGTTTCGTTATCCTCACAGCGTGAAGCGTTGCGTTTTCAGATTCAGATGTTAAATTGATTGCTTGAAGTGCGCTTAGCTACAAATTGTTTTGTTACGCTAATTTGCAGTATTCAATTTAAAAAAAAATGTAATTTAACGGTGTGAATTAAATGTTTGTAATTATGTGAATACTTGTCCATAAGCTCCTTCGTCAAGGTCCGTTGCCTCCACGGTGGTCAATACACTGGGAGGAGCTCCTTCTTTCACGGTGATTGCGGAGGGATACGGCTTGAAAATAGGTTCGTTGTCGTTCACATCTTCGACTAATAGCAAAAAGCTTTGCGTGATGAAATTACCCTCCCCCAAATGCCCGTCTGTTAACGTAAGCACGAAGGAGTATTCATCACGAACCTGTAATAAAATAATTTGGACCAAGTGTCGTCAAAGTTCAAGATTTAAGCAATCTCGGCACTTCGAGGTTTGATTGGTGTATAATTATTTAATTAATAGAGGTTTCCACCACGTACATTGATATCGTTGGGTTTCCATGAATTTCTTACCTCTCTATCTAATTCCTTAACTAAATAAATATTAGCTTCGTTGGATGAAATGGCTTCTAATCTCAAAATATCACTACCGAGCTGATCTCTGATGCCAAACTTCAGCGTATCTCCGTCAGGGTCAACGCCCCGTAGTCGGTATATCAAGCTACCTGAAATAAAATATAACGGCATCTTTATTAAATTAACCTCTTTGTTGAGGCCAACAAAAGTATAACATTTTCAAATTAAAACTTCTGAGTATCGTCGCAGTTCATGATTTAGTAAATTGGTACCTAATAAATTTCTCGGGAATTACGAGATCTGGAGTAGAGACAAAAAATTCTCAGTATGTTTATAATTGGACCTATATGTCCAAAGTCCGGAACAGTCCATCCTTAAGTTATTGACTTACTACCCACTCGTATAAAGCGTTTTGCTTCATCCTTACTGATGCGTAAGGCAAAGAAATCTAATTTCATGGAAATTTTCAATGACCGGCTCCAGTTGTAAGTATGGTGACTTCTTAAGATCCAGCGTAGACCAGCAGACGTCAAGGCAGAGGACATTAAATTTATCAATGTTTAATTTCTGTTATTCAAATTGTAATGAGGTGTCAATTTCGATGCTCTGAGACGATCATCTGAGGGAATAATGCGCCGCGATGCTCCACGATCGGTCTCAGAACATCGTAATTTACACCTTATCAGGTCAGTCGAGCACACTGTCAAATGGAAGGAATTTTTCTTTGTGTTCAATCTTTGTTATTAATTATTATAACGAATTAGTAATAATTAGTAATTTCACAAAAAATAAATGAATATCATAGTAGTAAAATATAATAATAATTAAAAATCAATGTTTTATACTTTATGGCAATTGAAACAGTATAAAATATACGTTGATAAAAATGTAGCTGCCTACCCGTCCGCCGGTTTGTACATTTATTAAGATATAATAGGTAAAATTGTGACTTAGGGTCGCATTTCAGAACTCTACACAATGCTAAAGTCAGGACTTGAGTATGATTTCAAGCACAGGAAATACGACCCTAATGGCAAGGACTTGAGTATGATTTCTAGTGCTTTAAATCATACTCAAGTCCTGACTTGAGCATTGAGTAGAGTTCTGGAATACGACTCTAAGTGACCGTCTATTTACATAATAAAAACTGTCTCTAGCTCGTGTAGAGTTTAGTATAATTGTTAACCTCGGAAACATTAGAGGCGTTAAAAATTACATCATGATATCAGCCGGAAGACGTCCACTGCTGAACATAGGCCTCTCCCAGACTATACCGGGTGGATACGACACGCATCCATCGATTACTCACCGCACTTACCAGGTCATCCGTCAATCTAGTAGGGGGCCGTCCCACTAAACGCCTTCCGGTTCGTGGTCTCCTTTCGAGAACCTTTCTGCCCCAATAACCGTCAGTTCTACGAGCTATGTGCCCTGCCCACTGCTACTTCAACATGCTAATCCTTTGAGCTATGTGGGTAACTTTCGTTCTTCTACGGATCTCCTCATTTCTGATTCGATTACGTAAAGAAATGCCGAGCATTGTTCGCTCCATAGCTCGTTGAGTGACTTTTAGCTTTTTTTATGAGGCCTATAGTTAGTAACCACGTCTCAAAGCCGTAGGTCATCGTAGGTTAAAAATTTGCTTTACTATCAATTTCGCCATGGTAAAATACTAAAAGTAGGTAAGCAAACTGTTCTATGCTTTAATTTAATATATACATTAATAATGTGCCAAACATCCATACCAACGTAGTCTTACTTGGACTTAGTCTCAAACTAGGGAACACCCTGTACTATGTATACCAGAGCAACGGAATTCATAGTTACAGTTTCTCTTGTTTAACATTATTTCTCTTAATTTAGTTTAATGTTTATTTTCGTTTATCAAAAAGAAAGCGCTATAATGCTGTGCGATGACTGTACACACCTACGTATAAACCCGTTGAAGGGATTGGAACCTACCTAAGGTTAGACTTAAGAACGATAAGTGTATACAATTTTGTGTTGGAAAATAAATGAAAAAAAAGGCACTATCTACTCAGAACACCCAAATTAGAACTAATTTAGAAAAGTTAATTTCCCAAATTGGTTTTACCGGAAATCGAATCCGGGACATCTACATTCAATGCTCATATTGCAAACTGTTAGGTAGTGTTGGGTCATGGCGAAAATTCGGTTTTGAAAAAATCATATTTTTTTAGAAAAATAAATATTTTTCCATCATTGATTTTTTCCTGTATTTTTCCACATTTGACAATTGATACCTGTCAAAAGTTGAAGATACTGAACGAAAACGTTAGCGCCAATAAAAAATAAAGAAATTTTTCTTCTAAATCAGCCTACAGTAATATGGACATCTCTACTTAAAACTATTCTTAGTACGAAGCCTAATAAACTCATTGATGACTAATCGTCGGAATTATGTAATAGGTTGTAAGCGTCCCTTGCTTGTTGTCTATCTGTAGTCCTGGTTACCGTGTTCTCCCCCTTTTTAATTTCCGCTTGTCTGTTATTTCACACCATTTTGTAGTTTCTTCGCATCAAAGTTTGAATGTTTTGACTACGATGGAAGTGCCCATAAGTTTTAAGTTTTTAAGTAAGCTAAGTACCTCAAAGCAATAACATAATAGTTAATAAGTAACAACTGTGGTTCTTTTTTATTAAAATAACCAAGACCGTAAATATGTATGTATGTGTTACAAATGGCTGGTTTATTTCTAAAAAATAAAGTTTCCGAGTAGACATTTTTTTCGGTTGATAGGTTGTACTTACCAACTGGAGTGTCTGTTCCTTCCTTCAACCTGACAACAATTTCAGACTGTCCATCTATAAGAAACCGCGGTGGCCGATTGGCAGCAACCACCGCAAACAGCAATATCAACCACAACATCTGGCCGCATCTGGACGAAACCGCTTTTAACCGGACCCGCGGCCGGTTCAGGTCCAAATCGAACCGGAATATTGCGGATAGGGAACGCTTCCACGCGTTCATATTGCACGATTATTTGATGCATGGAAAAACTTTATCGATTCTCAACATGTGTATCATTTTCCAGGTTTTCTTCACACGGTTTCACCGTGGGAAGGTCGTGGTGTACTGGTGAAAGTGTTGTCGTGCCTCTTGATTTAATCTCCTTTACGTGCTGATGGTTTCGCGTACCCCTGCAATAATAGACACGTGTAGCTTAGCTTTGTTATATTTGAAAGGCGACAAAGATATCTTCAGTATAAAAAATATTAGAAAGTGGGTATTTGTTCTTAAATTCTTTAGTACGTCTACTAATTAGTCAGTATGTGAGTCTACTACTGAATTTACTGGTGCTGGTAGCAAGACTACATGTTTCATGAGAAATAGTTATAAAATGTCCTTACAGGATGCAGGAGTTTACAAGCTTGACTGTGAGTGCGGTCTCTCTTATATTGGATAAACAAAGCGAAGTAATTGTACCCGTGTCAAAGAACATATAGCTGATGTCAAATACCGTCGCGTAAACAAGTCTGCAGTCTGCGAGTATGTCATGGATAAACCTACACATTCAATTAAGTTTGACAAACCCCATGTCCTTGCAAAAGGAGTCCGTTATCTACCCAGGATGCTGCGAGAGGCCATTGAAATTTAAAAAACATCCTAATTTCATCAGGGAAGATGGTTTCTCTGTACCACCAGTTTGGGGTCCAGTTCCTCTAATGAAAAATCCCAAACAGACATAAGACTGCAGTACTAATTAATATGTTTTACTTTAGTCTAATTTCTATTATTAATGAATAATAAATTGAACTTAATAAAAATTCATTCAATAAAATAACTTGTAAAACTTAATTTAGCGTAAATTGGAATGTTTTCTTTGTAAAATTAAAAATAAGGTAAATAATTAATAACTATTGTAACTATAGTGAAAAAATAGGGTGGTATGCATCAATATTAGACATAACTGGTTGAAGACTGTACCACGTCAGTCAACCGTGACCATGGGACCTGTAAAGGACCCGAAACGTCGGTTTGTTTGAAAAAACGTGATTTAAATCCGGAAAAATAGTTTCATTTCCTATGTGTAACAATCGCGAAAACCGAAGAACTCGATTTATACAGGGTTATTTGTAACAAGCTCGCAGGACTATACTAACATAATAGACTATAACTTTAGTTCCATGACTTTTATAATTAATCAGATTTTACTTTCGAACAAAAAAAATTAAATATTTAGGTAGATCGCTACAAATGGTGATAATTTTATGAAGTAGCAAAAGAAGGCACGCGGAAGTCGATGCTAACAACACAGATCTAAAAATTGTCATAACTGTCTGACACTTTTTAGATCTCTATTGGAACTAAGTAATAATAAAACATACCTATGTATAGCAACGCGAAAAAACCACCAAATAAATAAATTTATGAATCAGTCATAAAGTTATTTTAGTGGTTTTTTACGCTACGAGTTCAATATGTCGAATGGTACAATAGGATTGAAATATATTTGTCAATTTAATACGAAATAATTTATTACAGTATTAAGTGCCATTAAATAAAAACATACTATTAATTAGCACATGTCTTGATAGTTCGAGAACATTATTTCAAAAATTACACTTTCTTAAGTACTTAACGTAGTACAGAGTATTGGTGTCCGATCTGTGATCTGTGTCTATAAAACTGTTATACAACCGATTGCGTGGTTGCGATGCTTGGACGCTTACACTGATAGAAAAGAACATGCTTCTTGTCGCCGAAAGGAAAATCTTCCGTTAGATTCTGGTACAGACGCAGAGATGGTAGCTGGAGGATTCGAAAAACCAGGAAGACATCGTGTCTGACCTCAATATCATTGGAGAAATCAAAACCGCAATACTACCTTGCACCTCGAAAGTATGCCAGTTTCGTTCTAGTGGCCGACGACCGGTTGATCGGTCCGAATAGGTACCGATCGAGAGACGAAGTGGAAAAAGACCTCCGCGCCTTGCATGCAGGAGATCAGAAGATCACGTCGAGTATGAGTACTGCTGCCACTTATGAGATGGCTCTGCTAAATACCAACTGGCCAATTCAATTGACAAGTGTGTCATGAGGGTTACAGGTGACTTGGAGTTAGTAGAGGCGAAGCTGCCGACCCTTAAATACCGCCGTAAAGTTGCCTGCTTATCGTTATTGTACAGGATATATATAAAGGAGAGTATGCGATTTAATTGCATAAATTGATTTAGCCTTCCCTTTCCCGTCATCGGGGGACTAGATGTGGGTTGAGGTTGGAAGCCTTATGTTGTGGATATTCCCAGGATTCGCACAAAGCGTTTTCCTTCCATATGTATATGGTTTATATGGTAACGGTTAAAGAGTGGGATACCCTGCCTGCGGATTTATTCCCCGAGCCCTTTAACTTGGACATTTTCAAGGTGACAGTAAATAGGCAATAGATAGCAAAAGACTGGGCGCGCTGGCACCAACTCATATCGGAGGCTAGAACCCATTTCGGGTTGCTGAGCCAACGGAGTAAGTAAGTACTTATAGTAAGTAGTTAAATGGTTAATTCAGAATCGCGTTGTTCTCATTAGTCAGTTAAGTTGGCGAGACAATGCGACACGCCTAGTTACGAACGCGCTCTGTGCGTTGCTTGTTAACCCACTTGCAAAACATTAATCAAGTGACTTTTACAACATGTATTTATCATTATTGTAACATCGTTTATCATTGTTATAACAGATAATTATTCATACATATATATATGACATACAAATATAGCAAAATATTGGAGACAAAACATTAATGTAACGCAAACTTTGAGATAAAATATAATATGACGCAATTTTATAATATATGTTAGTTGTCAAGTGCGAATTGTGTATCATAATTATTTTATTAACTTTCATCTTATATGTTTACAATTGTCAAGTTTTGCACCCTTGTTAATTATTTTGAACCTAGCTCTACGGTTGGTTAGTAGAGAACGCCTAATGACATTAATTCCGCCATGTGTACTGTTTTGTGTGGAATAAAGTTAAAATAAATTAAATAAATAACGGTAAAACAAATTCATATAACTTTTGCACGCAAATAAAAATTAGTTTTTACTTCCCACCGTAAAATACAGCATCTTAGGCGTATAAGTATGATGTACTCTCTGTTTACGAAGACTTGACCAAAAAGGTTAAGGATTTATCGTATCAAATTTAAATCTGCGTACAGCTTTTAAATTCGGAATTACGTGCGTAACGTATTCAAATTACCTTAGGTATATTATTCATTAATAATAAAGTCTAATAATGTGCCAGACCAGCATACCATTTACCTGGTTTCAAACTAGAGAATTCCCTGCACTATGAGTACCAGACCATCGAAATTCACTATGGGGCATTTCCCAGAACACCCAGGTCAGAAAAAATTTAGTTTATTTAACAAATTGGTGCAACCGAGTAGACACATTACACATTGGAAGATTCAGGTAGAACTGAACTTAGACTATTTATTTTTTTCCATCCTCTAAGCACAAAAGCGATTTTGCACGCTAGCGTGAAAAAGGTGTTTGAAATTCGAACTTCACGATGGACTGTGAGACAAACAACTTTTCTTTCGAAAAAAAAAATTATGACATGTTCAAGTACGCGATTTGTTTACGTTGTATTAAATCCAAGGATGGAAAAAAATAAAGGAATAGTTTAAGATTAAATCCGTTGGCATATTTTATTCTTATTATTGTTGACATTAAATTGACAACGATAAATAATTTTGTTTATTAAATTATTTTAGTTCGTCGAACAACCAAAATACTTTCAATAATCACACAAAATTATAAGTACAAGCATGAATTGGAATTGATGAGGTGCAAATTCAGGACGCATCCAAAGATAAACTTTTTCTTAGACATTTTAATTTTTGTAATGGAATCCAAGAAATAAATTATTCTCAGTTTTGACTGTATGACGCATTAGTGACTTTGCCTTTTCCAATGGTAAAAAAGTACAAACAAAATTGTGACACGTTCCCAAACGCGATTCGTCATAAGTACGTACATTAAATATAATCATCGAGTATATAACCAGAAATAGAGACGAAATAAGGGCCATACATTCCTGGTAACACATTAGCGATACAGCTCTTATAAATACCAACTCTCGTTTGCACTGAAATATAGACAGGCCAACTACTGACCTGTGTGTCATCATCATCATCATCATCAGCCTATTGCAGTCCACTGCTGGACATAGGCCTCCCCTAATGCACGCCATTTCGCCCTGTTCTCGGCTTGACGCATCCATTTCCTGCCAGCAATCTTCCGCAGATCGTCACTCCATCTGGCTGGAGGGCGTCCCACACTACGTTTGCCAAGTCGTGGTCTCCACTCAAGAACTCGTTTACCCCAGCGGTTGTCGGTTCTTCGGCAGATATGTCCAGCCCACTGCCACTTCAGCTTGCTTATCCGAAGAGCTATGTCGATCACTTTGGTTCTCTGTCTGATAACCTCATTACGGAGTTTATCTTTCAGAGAAACTCCGAGCATAGCTCGTTCCATAGCTCGCTGAGCGACTTTAAACTGGTGGACTAGCCGTATCGTGAGTGTCCACGACTCAGCTCCGTACGTTAGAACTGGTAGGACGCACTGGTTGAAAACCTTTGTTTTCAAGCTCTGCGGGATGGGCGACGAAAAGACTCGACGTAGCTTCCCAAACGCTGCCCAGCCAAGCTGAATCCTCCTCCTGGCCTCCTTCTCGAAGTTATTTCTACCTAACTGCAGAATCTGCCCGAGGTAAGTGTATTCGGAAACAACTTCAAGAAGGTGGCCATCGACGCAGATGGGTCTCGGATCAATGTGGTCATTGATCATGACTTTGGTTTTATCAAAGTTCATGCCGAGACCAATCCGCCGCGAGGCGGATGCTAGGCTGTTCAGCATCTGATCCAGTTCCTCCAGCGATTCTGCCATTAGGACTATGTCATCTGCAAATCGCAAGTGTGAGATGTACTCGCCGTTTATGTTAATGCCCATCCTTTTCCAGTCCAGCGTCTTAAACATATCCTCCAATGCAGCGGTGAACAGTTTCGGGGATATGACATCCCCCTGTCTCACCCCTCTGCGTAATTGGATAGGTTCAGACTGCTGGTCCTGTACTTGGACACTCATGGTAGCAGCATCGTAAAGACATCTCAACACTTGTATATAACGATAGTCCAC